CCACTTGAACTCTGGGACGGAGGGGGGCGATGACGCTTGCGGAGCCCCCCTGAGATGTTGAGAGGGACGTGGGAGGTAGGCCGCACCGTAAGTGCTGGTCGACACTCACTCACTCACTCATACTGCTGTACAAGTCCAATGGTTGTGGTGCAAATGCGGTTTTTCATGAGGTGGGAAGGGAAGTTGGCGTGGTTGGCGTTGCTTGTGTGGTCTCTGGCCTACTTCAGTCAATGATTTCACGAGGGAGACACACTTTGTCATGTCTTGTCAACTTGTGGCTGCAACAACAATTCGGAAAACTCTCGCAACAGCGGAAGCAACACCGAGGCGATTTCCGCGCCTGTCGGCCAGCTGGAGCCACATGCACGGTTTCTGGCACTCATTTGAAACACAACTGCACAGGCGCAGCCACAATATTGCCTCTGACTTGTGGGTTCCACGTTTTGACTTTCCAAAAACGATGCCTCGTCCCCTTAGATGAGTTTAGGCAAGCATCTTGTCAAAGCCCAGGCCATGATGCAGGAGCACCTGAGATGGCTCTGGTTCTTTCCTTGCCTTGACCTTGCAAAACCCTATGACCTGCAGAATGGAGAAATTTCTTCCAAGTGTCAGGTATCGAAGAGTTCAGACATGTTCAGACTATGCTGGAATTGTGTGGCAATAGCATCTTCAATGGGACGAGCGCGGAGTTATCGGCGTTTCTTGGAAACTCTCACAAGCACGATCGTCTCGCTATGTCTCGCTGACTGCCATCCAAAGCACTACCACATACGTTGCAGAAAAGCAGAAGGATTGCAAGGCCTGGCAAGGCATCCGACACATGGCTGCAGCAGCACGGGAATGTTGATGCAGTGCTTGGCAGCGACAGCACCAAGCATCAGACAGAGCAGGGCTTTCAAGCAGGGTACAGTTCAAGGTGAATGATCACATGCGGCAGCCGGAGTTCAGATTATCTCATGCTACAACTTCACAAACTCGTGCCTGAATGCACAGCTCTTGGACAGAACTGGCTGCGGGCACACCTGTTCATCGAGGCGTTGCCATCGTTCATGAAGCATAGCCCAGTCCATCTTGCAAACGTACCTGCAGGTGTCTCTTGTTGTGTGTGGTAACATCTCATCAATGTAGTCTTGCCGCATGAGATAACTGAGACCTAGGAGGCCCCCCCAACCCCTGCACCCCCAAGCTCCCCACACGCATGCAGGCCTACACTCCTATGCACGCCTACACCCCTACTCCCCTGACACACACCCATGTTGGGATGTCTTCGGGTTAGGAGGGCAAAGGCTCTTTTTTTAATCACCTCTTTTCCTATACCATGTTGGTGGAGGCATGAGGGCAAAGGCTCTAGGGCCCAGGGTCTGCAGGTGTGCACCACGGCATAGCGTTGGGAAGAACAGGTTTTGTCACACACCTAGCACCGTGGCAGCTCCGCGGACAACGAGTCAGATCTGCTTGGAAAGAACAGTGCTTACAATACTTACTATCGGAAGTAATCGGAAGTAATACCACGAAACGCTATGCTGACAACTCGAAGCCCGGCCAAAGCGACCCTGCCTGGCCGCAGTCTCGATGTCCTCCAAGGCCGTGGCTTCCGCCGGGAGGCCCAAAGCCTCGGCTAAGGCAGCGGCTTTGGGTTTCTCCACACTCCTCGGAGTAAGACGGAATTGTTCAACTTCCTTCGAGAAGCTTCCACAACCCAGCTAAAGGCCGAGAAGGCCAAGAAGCGCCGGCTGCCTGAGGCACTCAGGCAAAAGCTCCGCTGCTCTTGCACGGCGCAGCTTCCACGTGAAGGAAAACAGTGATTTGCAAACGCAAGGAACATTTCGACTTGAGCGGCTATTCGCTGAACTATGTGCAGGTCCCTCTGGGCCCGATCTCGAGCTCGCAGGACATGCCGCCACTCATAACTGCTCCGTTCTCATGCGTTGCTACACTCTTGCATCCCTCACCTTGGCCTTGGATTCGAGAGGTTCGTGAACTGCGACAAGTGGACCGACAGCTCCAGGTAATGCATTGGGTTTGTCTTGCTAGGCTCTCTTACAACTTCGACGTCAAGTCTCGCTACCGAGCTCCCAAAACCGTCCAAGCGGCCTAAAGTCGGCTGGTATCGGCCATTGAAGGTGCAATGTGGCAAATAGCATGGAGCATTCTTGTCGAACAGCTCTGCGATTTTCTCTGCGCAGTCTTCGTACAGTCCCTGCCAGCAAAGGCTGAGATTTTGCCTCAAAACTTGCACCCACTGGCTGTTGCTGTCTGCTGTTGGGAAGTCCGCATGCAAGATAACCGTGCCTAGAAGCAGGAAGACGATGTCACGAATTTCTTGCAGTGTCTGCTTTGAATCCACCAGCTTGCTGGGAAGGAAGATGAACACTTGAGACGCATGGGTCGAAGCAGCGGGCACGTGAAGCTCAGAACTCTCGAAGCAAACCCAACCTGAAACCACGGCCTTGCCGTACCATGTCGCTCGCAGTGGGGAAGCACCATGCTCAGAGCTGTTGCCGCTGAGATTGCTGTGCTCTTCCGGCTCTTCCTCACCAAAAGCGCACACACACACACATGCTCGGCACAGGCCGAGAACTTCTAACCTATGGGCCTGCACTACAGGAGGCATACTGCCCACTAGATTCGGTCACCATCCAAACACCAGCTGAAAATGGCCCATGCGGCTATCTCTCCGACAAGCAGCGCCAATCAGCAGCTCGGAGATGTTGCTTCCCCTGAAGCCAACTTCTTCAAAGCACGTGTGCATTCGCTTAGGGAGTTGTAAGGAAGCCGTTTCGTCTTAACATGTGCTCTATTTCAGTTTCCTGGGCCGGATTCGTGCGAGTGCTAGCACATCATAAGCTTACTACTATGCTCACCATCAATGGCACAAGCGGAAAGGAGCACTGGAGCAAGGATGCAAGGCCTGCGGAAGATGAAGGCTGTCTGGAGGTCCATAGTTTTTGTGCTGGTCTTTTGCATTAGACAAGCCGACATAACTGGGTTCTGAGGATCACTGGCCTTGGCATACACGGGTGCTCCAGGATCCTCAGCTGCAGGCTCTGCTCTCCGAGTCTCAGGACAAAAGGTCCCATCGCACTGTCGTAACTATTGCTGTATAAATTCTGTAGAAATATAACTTCCGTCGTCGAGATTGTGCGGTTGATGGACGAAATCTTGCACCAGCTCCTACAAGCGACACTTCTGACGCTGGCGGCGCAGAACCCTTTTTACATTGGCATGTGCTGCATGCCGGGCGCCACAAGATTGTGGATGTTCGGACAAGTCGGTGTCGAAGGCTTCCCGGTATCAATATTGAGAGGGCTGCGCAAGTAAGTTTCAAGAGCAGTGCAAGAGTTCATCCACCCATGGCTCTTGGAGTCTGGCTTCGGTAGGTGTTCATTAGACGGACGTGTTTAGTCCAACGTAATCCACAGCTGTGGGGTTTTCACACAGTTTGACAGTGTTGCATGAGTGTTGCATCATGCTTTCGCCGGAGAATCCATGATGTGAGTCCGCACGGTGGGAGGGTTCCTGGCCGACCCAAGACGTCCACTCACCTCCCACAGCCCTCGACGGGCTCGATGCCGAGGCCAATACTGACCCCGATTGGTTATCCACCCCGCTTCGCTTCCCCAACGGTGTGGATTGACGGCGCTCATCCCATATCAACCTCGATTGCACCGAGTTTTTCTGCCCTGTCTTGTCGCATCAAGTGCCGCTACAGTGACCAGAGACACCCCGCAAAGGGCACCACTGGTCACTAGAGGACGCGAGACATCCGATAGATGGACGAAATCTTGCACCTGTTTTTGCCTTGCACCTGTATAGCTTGCGGTGCAGAACCTTTTCCTGTTAGCATCTGTTGCCTGCCAGGGTGCTGACCGAGTTCAATCGCGGGTGCGGGGCTCTGACTTGCTGCAATATTCAGAAGCACCGCAAGATTTCGTCCCCCCAGAGTGGCATCCTGGGCCCTGCAGATCCCTTCACAGGCCAAGAATTGAGGACTCCCTAGAACGCCAGCTGCGAAGCTTGTCGTTCATTCCTCTTCAGCTCGAGGCTACGTGTAGTGTCTAGGGTCTAGAGTCTAGATGTGTCTCGTGGCCCGAGGTACTTAGTCTTTAGTGCAAAAGCCCAGCGTCGAGGTGGTCTCAGCCACCAGTGCTCGCGCGATGAGCTGCCGCTGTAGCAGTCGCCTTCGCTGCAAATGATTTCTTGCTGCGTGCTGGAAGACACTCAATCTAAAGATCCAAAACGGCTTGATGGAGAGGCCTTGCATCCACAGAAGCTTTGACATGCTTTTGATTGCAGGGCGAGGGTGGACGAGCCCAACTGGAGCCATTTATGCGCAGCCTGTTAGGGGAAGGCTTACTGGCCCTCTTTGCCTTCTTGTGGACCGTTGGAACACACCACACCCCCAGCAGTTTCAAGTGACCCGTGGTATGCACATGAACTTAAACAGACCTTGCACTGCAACTTGTGGAATCCTCCGACACCTCTTGCCGTCTGTGTAGCTCACTCTAAACTTTATACGGTGCACCAACCCGAGCTCCAGAAGTCGACAAGCTGCTGTGCTTCCCGCAATCCAAACTGAAGGTAGGAGGCAGAGTACAGGTAGCTCTGTCGCCCCTGCCATAGCTTCCGCGACGACTCGAAATTTGCAACTCTTGCGCTGCAACATGCTGACAATCTGAGTTTGAACTAGGCAGCACTCATGTAATTGTCAGGACTTTGAACTGCCTGTCCCCGCTGCCTGCAGATGCACTGGGAAGGAGTGCTGTAGCACTGACCTGTCGTCCTGGATGAAAGAACATCCAGTCATTCGATCCGGGCACTTTCTTTTGGGGAAATCGCATCAGCTGCAATGCAACATGCGCGACAAGTTCTCACAGGTCACTAACACAAACACCAACTGCTCAGCCCACCATGATCACAAGCCTACTGTATCTCCTGGGAGAAGCCTGGCCCATGTGAATGCCACGAGCCTGGCCCTCAAACATGATTTCGGCACAATATTATATTTAAGAAGTTCTGTAGCTGTACTCAGGTATGTCACTCATCTCGTGTGCAAACTGTTTAGAAGAATTTGTATGTGGGCGGCCGCATGGGCCGCGGCCTGTCACAAGATGGCAGAAAGCAATCGAAAGCACTTGCAGTCAATCTCCTGCCAGAAACGAACAAGAAAATATTCAGCAACCTTTCAAATATCACGGGAGATGCAAACGAGCTCTGGAAACAAGCAAACCCAAAATTCAACTAAATAACAAACCCCAGTCAACGCAAAACATGGGCGCGTGTATAGGGAGCTTGCTAGAGTTTTGGGGGGTGCTTTGGGCTGGGATGAGTCAGGTCGGGCTGCACTGCTTCTGAACTTGCATGCCGGCGTTCGATTTGGGAGTTTCAGAAAATAGGGGACCCTAGTATAGTACCCGAAATAGTAGGATCCTTATTATAAGGACTCCAAAATTTAAAATAAGGTACCCCTTATTTTTGGAAACTCCCATTTTTGGGTCGGCCAGGCCGGCCAGCTTTGCAAATACCCTGTCGCCTCTGGCACGAACGTTATCTGCATGGACGCCCCGCCGAGGTCGAGGACGCCCAAGGATTTTTTGCTGGCATCCCTTAGTGCGAAGACGCTTGGTCGAATCTGACAGTCGCTGGTCAGAATGCAGAAGGGAACAATTCTTTTTGAAGCTAGGGCTCTCTAGGAGTCCCTTCTCAGCATTCACAGCCAGCCAGCCAAACGCCCCTGCACAGGAGGAAAACGCACCGCGCTACGCCACTCGAACGCGTCTACTGACCCCGCTTTCCTCAGAAACCCCTCTGGCCTTCCTCTTCTCCGCTAAGTATCCTCACGAAATCAGGCTCCGAATGGAAGGAGCTCTCTGAGAGGACCGCCCTGACGGTCTGCAGCATTCCTCGCAACAAAGGGGCAGAGGAACATCGGCAGCAACAGCGCTGAAGCAAGGAATAGCCAGAGGAAGAATGCTGAGAACCACGGACAACTGACAAAGAATCGCTGGAGTGCTTCCAATCAAAATGCCAACAGTCACGGGATGGGTCAATGACCTTCCTCTTCCAGAGTCGGCAAATACATGCTCGTCTACTGCATAGCCAAGTTCATACAACTAGACTTGGGCATGGGTAGAGATGGCCGTGCGAGCGGTCGATCCTCGTAAGCACTGAGGTTTTCGATGTGTGCTGCTATCCGAACTGACAAATCGAGTCTAACGACGGGTCCTGTCAGGGGCACTACCGGGGTTTTTCGTGACAGCTACCACCACCACTGGGGGTGTGCCAACGTGCTGAAGCTCAACACTAATCAACAATGAAAGAGGCCTTCGCGCTGATCGGGCCGCATCCGCCGAAAGCCAGCAGTGGCAAAAAGGTACACAGGGAATTCGGACCAGTCGTCCTTCCAACTGCATGATAGCTCCCTTTAGTTACATCAGTCCTAGCTCCAGCCGCACAGAACAGCTGTGGAACTACTTCAACCTTGCAGAAACGAGCCTCCCGATCTTTCAGAACACCTTCCGCGAAGCTCAATAGCTCTTGCAGCGTTTCATTGAGCTTGGTCGTGCCCAGCGTTGCCAACCCACGATGGACCGTCTGGGAGGCGACGACAGAAGGTATGGTGACCTGCTGGAGGGCTCTCTGCAAGGTTTGTAGGCATGTAAAAATCATGCAATCACAGACTTTCTGCAGGCGACCAAAGGTGCACGTATGACAGGCCAGTGCGTTCTCAGCGGCAGGAAACGGCGCATTAAAGTCGCACTTCTGCGCCGGCCAAGCGAATACCCAGGCCCTAGAGCCACTGGAACCAGCATCAATTATGATGCCATGGTAACCTTGGATTCGCGCAACGACAACGTGGCGTGCGAAATCGCGGGAATATACCATTCGACCTTTGATTTTGCTCGTCAGGGAGCTGGGATCGGTTCTGTTGCCGTCGGAGATGTTGGCGCCAATCGCCAGGGAAAAGACGAGGACCTCGTCAAGAAGTGTCCCAAATCCAAACAAGGCAGAAAAGCTCACGACAGTAACTGCCACGGATCCATCAGCCGAAAGGTCCCAACCGAACCGTTTAAACCCCCATGGCTACACAGCCACTTAATCAGTGTCTTCCACACGTCTGCGAGGTCAAGAAGCGTCGTGACTGTCGAACCGAGTGGCATGAAGTCCAACACGAAGGCCATTCCAACATCGTGGCAAATAGATCATTCTCTCCGCTACTTTATTACTCGTGCTTCTCTTGTCTCCGAAGAATGCAATTCTCGAGGGAGGGGTGTGGGCTCAGAGCATTGGGCTGGGCTGGCTATCGGCTTGTTTGAGTCACTCGGCAACCACCGTCTTGTCATGTCTTTCCTGAAAAAGCTAGTGGCGTAGTGGTGTTTCTTGGGCTTTCCAAACCTCTGCTACTGAGCCAAAAAATGATTTCGGCGGCACACCCGGCCTTGATTCAGTACAGGTTAGAACTTCGGGTTTGGCTATGAGGTGCTACGAGCTTTTGGTCCGAACAGCAGCTGGTAGAGTCAATTCTCGAACTAGCAGACATCTGCAGAAACAGGACCACTTTTATAAATAAGTTGCCTTGAATGCATTCTTCTGCAGCCCGAATGAGGAAGCCCCTTCTCTTACTCTTGCCGCCAGACATGCTCACCGCAATGCGCCTCTCGTTCATCATGGCTGTCCTGCTATCGCAACAGCAGCAAAATCCACGGTACGGTGCGACTTTATCCGAAATGTTGGAGGTGGAGTCCGCAAGCCGCAAGCGCATTTTCTGTCATCTGCCATCCTACTTAACATGACTTGACCATTCTCGGACTCAACCCCTCCTCCTCGTCTTCGTCGCTGCTGCTGCCCGACTCGGAACTCGAGGGTGTGACGATGGCTTCGGGTGCGGCCTTTTGGAACGGACAGCCACAGCTCCACAGGGCTGTGGTTGCCCATGTGATACACTCCACCGACATCCGTCCGCTGAAAGAGCCCGCAGCTATCACTTCAGCCCCTTACTCGTGCCTGCCATCGGGGGGCAAAGCTGGCGTGCCGATCTCTACGCTGGTCGGCGCGTTGAGTTCGTCCGGGCCTCTGCTGCGACGTCCATCATTAGATGCGTAGGAGGGCTCATCGGCCAATCTTGTTCATTAGGCTTCACATGGCTTCAGTCGCAGCGAAGCACCAAGCCAAGCTTGGTGCCATGGTCTTGTGGCGAGCTCTGCAGCGACATGCCCGCGAGAGTGGACTGGCTGCCCAGTCTGCATCAGTTAAGGTGTTGGGTTGCAATGAGTTCCTTGCGCAAGTAACTGCACAGCTGGCGGAGAAGACCCATCTATGATGCTACTTTGCCTTCAACACTTGGGTGCTTGGGGCCCCAACGAGGACAAAACACCCATCTGCTTTCGTAGCTTTGCAGTCGAGAAATGTCGAGAACACTGTGTGTATTGCAACTACAGCCGTCGGGGTTTTCGTCAGGGACTATCGCTGCTAGTGCTGTGGTATCACCGCATCATTGGGCTTGTCTTGAGCAGCTGGTTCGGCCCGAAGCATGAATGCTGCAGCCTGCTGCATGCAGACTCGACGTTGCCAAGTCAAGGTCAGGTCAGTTGGTGAGAAATCCAATCCCCACGTATCTTCTTTTTTGCTGCGGGCTCATTCTCAGCTTGCGCGGAGTTCACCCGAAGGTTTCAGATGGTCTCAGCTCGATCAGCCAAACACAGTCAGGAGCCGGTGAAGATCACGTCAGCGCACCTCCTTCTCACAATGTTCGGGCCAGCTCCAGATGAATGGTGGAAACATCCACTGCAAGCGCAAGCATCTTAAAGCGAATGCCGTGCAAATCTTCGCGCGTCGCCAACCAAGAATACCCAACCCAGCAAATGATTGTCCCATCAGAAATCGTGAACGTACGTGAGTGGGATGAGAGCTTCGACATTGAAAATGATCTCTGCGAAGAACAGTTGCAGTCGATTTGGCCTCTGCCTCGTTGCATTTTGCTGTTGACCTGCCTTGAGCAAGCTTTCTGCAAGTTCGTCGGCCAAGGCCAAGGCAGAAACTGAAAGTCCAAGCCGCGAAGCTTTCGATCACCAGGCGACCAGCATCGACGTTCGCTGCATGAGATCACAGACTCACGTCACGCACCCGCTGTCGTCCGTTGCTCGCAACTTTTACCGGACTGGTCCGAGTCATGAGCATTAAATGCCGCAGTGAAGCGCTCTTGCCAATGGCAGGACGGCTCGGACATCCAATCAAGCCTCCCCCTTGCAGCAGCGTTGCTCTGTGAATGTGGAATCGAAGCACGGCTTGCCTCGAATTATTGAAGCTCCATTTCTTTACGAGCCGATGTATGCCCCCTACAACACGAACATAGCACAGAATGCAGGATGGGTGCGAAAAGGCGGTGGAATGTTCTTGTCGCAGCAATATCGGCCTCGATGCTTCGACACATTTGGGTGCTTGCATGCCNNCCCCCCCCCCCCCCCCCTGCGCAGTTCTTAGGCATGGGCAAGCGTGAAACCTGGGCCGAAAAGCACGAACAACATCGAACAACGGTTAGCAGTATTTTCAGCTTTTTCTGAAATCTTCCTACCTGCTCTTTGGCAAGAGTGAGGGCATAGTTGAGTGCCCCCAACAACAACAGAATCTTTGCGCTTATCCATCAGGTGCTAGAAAGCGACAGCGAACTAATCACAGCTAAATTGATGTGAGCATCTCCATATCCTTGATCACGAATTGGTGTCGATGGTCACGCTCTTGCCACCGATTTCCTTGGCAAGGGTTAAAGTGTCACAGGCTGCCCATTGAGAATGTGATGCGCCCAAAAGGGTTGGCTGAGCCAGCCGGATCCAATACATGCACATGAATGTTGTTCCAGAGTCTGCAGCCGAACAACTTGGAGTCCAGCAGCTCATGCTCAGCGGAAGGCAACCTTGCCATGCGAGATACTCCGAACACCAGTGTCATTTTCGAGTTTCTGTTCGCTTTCCGTGAAAACCCGCGATCCATGCTTGATTCGGTGGGGCAGCATCAATAACGGTGCAGTCTGTAGGTATGACCATGATCGCAAGAAACGTCTTAATTGGCAGACCCTACTTGGTCACAGGTCGTCGCTGGGCCGTAGCTGAGATTTGCAGAAGTAGCCATGCTTGGTGCAGATTCGATGCGTTGGACCGATGCGCCAAGCAGTGCCACCTGTCACTTGTGGCTGATTCGCAAGTCACCGGCTTCCGACGTGTAGCAGCCGTGTCTTGAGACGTACGATCGCGAAATCGTGCATGCCTGCTGACTATAACTTGCCTACCTGGTCTACTCTAGCCTGGCCGGGCCTGGACAGGTAGCCCTGGGCTGACACTTCCAGCCTTCTCTGGCTGCAGCTTGAAGTCTCCAGGGTAGTCGCTGGCAGTGCCATTCACAAACTGCTGCAAGTCCTCGAGCCTGACAAGACCACAGCTACATCAGAGCGCGGGTACGGCAAGGCCGCTTCTTTTAAGCGACACTGAACGTGCAACTTGGCCACTTCAGCGGCCACACCGTCTTTGCGAGGCATTGTTCCTGCGTCCCGCCGTGCAAGCCCCATGCAGCATGAAGGGAGACCACCAATACCGTGGCCTTGCAGTCTAGCCCCGGTGCTGCAATCCAGAAATGCTCACACCGCAATGTCTTGTTTCAACAACCTGTCGTCGCTTCCACTGCCCCAGACCCCCAGGACTTCTTGAGAAACACATATGGCATCACTGCCGACAGCTGTCCACTGAAGGCACCAGCTTGGTAAGTGCTTCTTTCGCCACCGCCGCTTTTTCCTTGGCATCTCCGGAGAATCGAAACAGGTTGAGCCACGTCTCTATCTACAGGTTATGCAAGGCAAAGCACATGGGCGGACCCCTGCGGTGCGCACACCAACAACCCTCTGCTGCTAGACCTCCAGTCTTGGTGACCAGAGCTTGATGCGATCTATGCGAAACCGAATCACATGCCTGCAAGTGTCTGTATCCTCGTGCATCAGGTGCTGTGAGCAGAGGACCGCCAGCGCCGTGAAGCCAATTGGGCACGACTCCCAGTCAAATCCCAGCAGAATCGGATCGCACAGTGCCTTGTCTAGAAGAGCAAGGAGTGCCCAGGTAGCCGCCAAGGAAGCAGTGATTCAAGGACATCCGGGGTCGTAACATGTCGAAACTCATCGGTGCACGTGCAATGGAACAGCTGGCCAAGCTGCTGTGGGGAAAATCTCGAACCGCATTTCTGTATCAACCGAAAGGACCTGCGAGAAGCAACACCCAGGATCAGCGACAAGGGTGTGAGAAGGCCATGGCGGTGGAAGCTTACTGGTACATTTCCGTGTCCCTTGGGCTTTATCGAGTCCCTGGCTGTCAACACGAACAAAACGAGGTTGTCATCGTAGTTGCAGCCTCAAGGGGAGACTCTGACAGGACCTGATGCATCGAGCTTGAAACGTGACTAATACAGTACCCCGGGGCGAGGCAAAGCTTCTAAGACTGCAGGAAGGAAGACTCTGCCCAGGAAGACATGCCAGGTGGCGGCATCCTTCCACATTGCGATGCCAGTCGCTGTTAGCCTGGAAGAACTGCTACGGGCTGCTGCTACTGCATCCTCCGTGCAGCATGCTTGCAGGGTCTCGCGCTGAAGCGCTTTTCTTCGGGAGCAGCTTTGCTTGGTCTTCTTCTGACCTCGGCAACACCGAGGCTGCCTGCGGGACGACTCTCGAAGTCCCTCCCCTGCTGCTTGCGCAGTTACCGACCTTCACACGGCGAAGTTGATCCGCGCCGAGCAGAAGCTCGAACTCGTCGCATGGCTAAGGCTGCAGCAGTAGAGGCAGCAAGCTATCACGGGCTTCTTTGTAGGCCTGTGAAGGACCAATCTATCAAAATCAGATGCGCTGCCCAATTGTCTTGAATTCTATGTGCCACCAAAGCACCACGTCCCACAGCAGATCCGCAGTAGTGATCCTTTCTGCCTCGGTCGGCATACCGCTCTGTGTCACTTATGTCAATTTTTGGAATGGAGGGCGGCCAAAAAAGCAGGGCGCTTCATCAACGAGCAGAATAACTAAGAGCTTGTGGTTCAGATTACCAAATCGGGACACTGACCGATACCAAATGTCGTGGAAGTAAACTAGGTTTACTAGCTGGCTCACGCAAAAAGGCACTTGTGCTGCCCATTGTCGTCCTTTCGGCATCGAGCCCTATTCCCGACTTGTGCATCCCCGATCTGATCGAAAACGAGGTGCGAGTTGGACGTCTGTGTCGCCTACAAGCCACAGATTCCAGTCGCCAGGCTTGAGCGCATCAAATGGTAGCATCGTGTAGGAGCTGCAGGTTCCCAGCCTGAACTCGTGAGCTTCGCCGCTTCGCTTCCCCCTTTACCGACTGGCATCAGATTGTGCAAAGCGCTGGCAAGCGACGGCGTCTCAAAGGTCAGAACATCCATCCACAGGTTCCCAGGTTCCTTCCTTGTCTACAGTCCGGTCTAGCGATTTTGGGCTTACGGTTTAGTTTTGGGATTAAGGGGTTGCTGCATGGGCTATGGTACAACGCACAGAAAGCGCTTCGAAACTTCATCAGGTTTGGTCTACGAAGGTATCGACAGCCGCTTTTCTAGACTCTCTGGATTAGTTGGCTTGCTCAGAGTTTGGTGGTACCGGGGATCCGGAGACACTTGCAACTGCACGACGCCTATATCCTGTATCCGAGGCTGGCCACGCATCGACAAAAACCTGAAGAAAAAGCCTGTGAGAGTTGATGACCAGGCAAAACCCATCATGCCTGACATAATTGTGCATGCTGACGGAAAGACACCCTGTGTTCAGGGCTGCAGAAAAGAGTCTTCTGGTGAATGTAAAGGGGAACATTTCGTCCATGCGGACCTGTTCCAAACAGATCTCCGGCTGGCCAAAACCTTGGGATGCCGAAATCGGCTCCGAAGAAAGGGTCTAATGGGCCGTTTTCCACCCCATCATTGCCGCCAAGTGGCTGCATCAAAGCTTGCGGGAAGAAAAGCCCATTGTTCAAAAAGCCTCCAACAAGGCCGGGTCGCACGGGGCTGAGCCAGTTTGATGCATTCAGCTTAAGAAAAGCCAGGCGGAAGACATCCTGAGAGGGCTGCTTGATTTGTGCTGCAATGCCTTCGCGACACGTGCCGGGACTTCTCGTCTCTATCTATTGACGCTTCTGTGACGCGCTGGTCCTTGTATCCGTGGAGGACGCGAGTGAAAAAGTCCCGTGATGCCATGTAGTTGGCTAAGCAGATGGGCTTCCAGTGTCTCTCCTGCAGGCGAAGAAGCCGCAGCTGCTTTCGAAAGTCTGGTACGAGCTTGCAGCACTGAGTGATACTGTGAAGGGTACACAAAGTGCATCGAGCTCATGCACAGATGAAGCTGCGGAACAGTCCCGATTGATAAGGAAGTGGCCGGTCTCGTGCTCCTGCGCATACTGCCTGAGAAAGCTCCGAAGCAACGGCCATTGCAGTGTCTGTGCTGCAGCCTGGTCGCATGTCCGAGGCGTTGTGCTTCAATTGCAGCAGCCTAAGATGAGGATCAGTAGAACTAAGCGGACGCATGTATCGACCATGGCCATACCACCAGCCTCGCTTGCACAAAGAGGCAACAAACTTCAGTGCTGGTTCATTCTGCAGTTCCACCAGGTTACAGCGCCTGCGGTGCCTTCAGGATCCTGCAGGCCCACAGCCCCAAACTCTAAACTCAAAGACATCTGAACCTCTTGCAAACAAGGGAGCTTCAAAGCCACATGACCCGGCCACGAGCTTTCTCCCCACAGTGGGCAGTCGTAGGACCAGTGGTCCTGCAAGAAGGGGATATGCTGAGATGCTGCGAACGATCGTCGGACCCTGGTACGAAGCATTGCTGTCTCTTTGCACGGAGACACCTTTATCGCATGTACTTGATGTTCAATGGTGTTCAATGTGTTCGAGCGCTTTGCATGGTTTGCAAGTGAGCCAGGTCCTTTGTCCCATGTGTGACGCCGCATGCTGGCTGTATGTAAACAGACACTTCTCGGGTGTTGGCTGAACCGCATTTAAACAGATCACTAACTTTAAATCCTAACCTGCACCTGTCCAGCATTCTCCGAGGACGCATCAGCAGGGGTTGCTATGTAACAGAACAATCTACAACTGCTGTGCAATGGCGGCGCCCTCGACTTTGTGTGTGCTGTCAGATCGGTTTTGCATCCAGGGCAGCAGCAAAATCACATGGACGTTTCCGTATTCCGTGGAGCAAAGACTGAGCTAGTGAGCCACGTCAGCAACGGCTACAGGACGCGAGATCAAGCAGAGTGCGGCCAAGCTTCTGGCCAGAACAGTGCGCCAGTACCTCGAATTTTCAACGGGTGCTTCTGCGACGCGTGTCGCAGCATTGGGCTTTCGCTGGACATCGCCGAGGTGCTCTGATATTGAGGTGAATCGAAGAGCTCCTCTGGTCTGTACAGCAGCGTGATGTCGGTATCAAGCCACAAGATTTCCCGGAAGGAGGATGCCATGATGGACCTTGGCGGCGCTGCTTGGGAGCCTGCTTTGTGCATCTTTGTGCTTCAAGCGTCCGTTTTTTACAGCGCAGGGGGAACACTAGCTAGCACTTCTTGAGTAGGGACTTGTGCGACTTGTAGTGCGAACGAGCATCGGCAGAACGGTCTCAAACTGGCGGTAAACCCCCGGCACCTGTTTCAAGTCCAAGTGGTACCACGGATGCAAAAAAAACACACGAGCGAGCGAGCGAGCGAGAGAGAGAGAGAGAGAGAACAGGCGTGAGCATTCCTGCTAGTGCAAGCATTTACCTGTTGTGCCTGGCCGCATGCCGTGGTTGTCTAAACGGAACCGACAAGTTTGCATACCGCTCCGGCTGAGGCGGGCTTGCAAATCTGCGGAGCCGAAACCAAACCTCCCTCGCAACAAGCCCCAAACGAGTACCTGCCTGAAGTTGGCGACATTCGGCACCGCGCGAGGCCAAGGCTTCGCAGTGAGCAGGTTCTAGTTCGAAAGCATGCCAGAACCTGGATCAACAAATCGGAGGTCTTGCTCGAATTGCAACCGCTAGCTGCCAGACATTTTGCGCCCACAGCCCCATGAAGCTTACTGCCCCGTACTCCAGCGTCGACAACATTTGAATTCGGACGGACCCTGCAATAAAGAGCCATCTGCAAGCGGCAGGCTCTACAGGCATGCCGGACTTGAGCTCCATGCGGAGCACCTCCAAGTTTGCCAAGGCCTCACGGTGGCCGAGGCCGAGAAGTGGCAAAGACAACGACACAAATTTGCCCAAGGACTGCAAGGACTACGGCCGGCAACTGCTCATCAGCTACTCAAGTGTTCCATCACATCCACTACCACCCCAGCCTGTAGCACGTGCATGGGACCTCCGCTCATGACAATCCCTCTGCCTTCGAAGGAACCTGGACAGGGAAGGCAAGAATGCGATTTCGCAGGCCCCCTTCCAACAACCGACAAATTCCGCATCGTCCCCAGGCCCCAGTCACAACCTTTCGCTCATCAGGTTGGATGAACCTCGACACTCTCGATCCTACAAAGTCTGATAACTCGTGCATCAGCGCCTGGCTTCGGTGCGGGAGCTTTCTGCAGCTCCTTTCAATATTTCACTGGACAGCTGATTAGCCAATGCTTGCCAAATGCTCTAACTTCGCATTTAGCTTTCAAGCTCGGCTTTGAGATCGGCACGGTGATCTAAGAACCACAGACTTCAGGACGTAGCAGCGCTTCCAGCCTGCAAGAAGCTGTCGAGAGCGTCAGCCTCCGCTGGCAAATAGCGCAGACACCTCAGTTGCCAATGTGGGAAGCTTCGTTCTGATTGTCGAATGTCGAACCGCGACCAATTTCAAGTCTGGCGACTGGTCACCTTTCAGTTTATGGCCTTGGTTGCACGAGAACACCAAGCCCAGAGACAGGAGCCGAAATCCCACACAGACTCGATATCCAAAATCGCTGCTCACCATGACATCTCGGTCTCAATGCCTTCGTGACTCTGCCTGACTCTGCGTGCTGGGTCGCTGCAAACTGTGGCAGGGTCCGCTGCGCTGCTTGATTCCCTTTCGCCGGCATGGCTAAAGGCAAGGAGACAGAGCCTGTTGATGCAAACTGTGAAAGCACGAGCAAGCCGTCTATCGCAGTGCTTCTTCCGGCGGCTAACTAAGGCCCAGTCAGCAAAATAGTTCGAAGCGGACTTTTGGAGCTTGTCGTCATCAACCACGACATCGGAAGCACCATGAGACACCATGAGCTCTCGGCAGAGCTGAGCGGCTCACATTATGCCTATGGCTGGACATGCTGGCTGCCAACGCATGAATCGAGCCAGGTCTGTGGCACACTGCTGCCAGTGGCAGGCAAGTTGCAGGTACCCTCCTGCCCTCGTGAGCTTCCGGCACACAGCTTCGTTGGATTTTGGGCTAGGCTGCAACACTTGCCAGCACTTAAAGAAGATCAGCTCGAGGGCTTGTGGAGCAGGACAGCGCGCATTGTTTTTCCGAGTTTCGTCCAGCTGCCGTTGGAGAAGAGCTGTCCTGCTTCATGGACGCCGTGAAACGTGGGAAAGTCGGGCAAATCTCTTGCAGCGTGCGCTTCGAATAACTCGGGAGCTCGTGGCCCGATGCGACGTGTAAGATGCAGGAGCCCGAGAGTCACCGTGGTTCTGTTGCCCTCCTCACTTCGCCGTCTCGCGCCGGGCAAGATCCTGTGTACACCGTGGACGAAAGTCTGCTCCCTCCCAGCTGGCAGATCACCGCCATCTTCCAAGTCGTTGGTCACCGCTGGGTCCAAACTGCGAAGCCTTTGTGCCAGGAGCCGCCGCCGGGGCTCTAGTCGAGAGCACCCGAAGTCACTTGCGGGCCGCTTGTGCATCAACCAGCGCCCATGCGTTTTGAAAACGAGGATCATTCCGGCATCCTTCAGTGAGGTCTTGGACCACAGCAGCGATCCTCCGTAAACTTGGAGTCAAAGCAGATGTCGCCTCAGCTGCTGGAGTGTCGTTGATTACAAAGATTACAAGTCTGAGACGAAGCCCAAACTTTCCACCCCTTAAATGGAGTTGGTATGAACAGATGATTCAGTCTGTTGAGACGAGGGGCGCAGTATGCTGCCTATGTCTGGTTCGCAGCAATTTCGGCCTTGACCAGGAGTTCGCGTATGATCTCATTTATCATCATCGTTGAACCCTGTGTTCTCGAGAGGTCTGCGAAGCCCATTCCACTCTGAGGCCTGGACACGACGTGTACCTAAGGGGATGGACGAAGCGAGATGAAGATTGGCTACAGAAGGCAGTTTTTGCGCATGTTGCCTCCTACTTCGCAAGGACAAGCCCGCACAGGTTTGCCCTTTCCGCATGTACGAAGACAACTGCTGCAGTCTCCTTGAGGCAAGCGTCCCTTCCATGGCCATGCTCGGTCTTACGAACGTACCATCAGGAAGCTGCTCTGGCCAGGCGTTTCCTGGACATGGAGTTGGGGGTCAGCCCAGGATGCGATACCCTTTCAGTATCGTCATTTTCGCCACTGACAGCGGGTTTCGACAATCTGGCACTAAGCAGGCACTCCAGAGTGCTGCCGAAGCACGAATACTCCAACAGTTTGTGTCCAGCGGAATACATCCTGTAGCGCGGCGTCAAAATGATACAGGATTGCCGAGTACAGTGGCAATGCTCGGCTACAACGGCCAGAGGAAGCAACATCTCTGCCAGGAAGCTTTGGATGGACGCAGGGAATTTTGCCACCTGCTTCTTCACCGCACACATGGACACGACATGTGGAACGGTGCAACACGTCCATCCGAATTGGCAGCTCCGAGCACAAGGCAATCCCCCAACATACCCCCAGGCGCCTGCTCTGGCTTCAAAGAGAAGTCGCCAGGATACTGTCGCCGGCCGCTTTCCCCCGCAAAGATCTTCAAATGCTCTAGCCTTGGATACCATGGGGCGATCAAAGCCAAACTTGCAAGGCCTCGCTTCTGAGCTGCAAAAAACCTGTCACTTTGCGCACTCCATGATGCGATGGAGGAGCTCCAGAGGCCACAGTGCCTTTCCTTTGGATCCCAAGCATTGTTCCTAAGCTTCGTTGCAAACAGCGGATAGGAACTACTACACTTCTCAACCTGCACACTTGCCCAAACCGCAAAAGGCACAATGATGAACATGAAACTTCGCTCTCCAAACCGACCCGAATAAGCCCTTCAGTTCCTAGCTTGACTACTCATTGGGGGCTTTGATTACCGGTGCCTGCTGGACTGTCCGGTGAAAAATACAATAGCCCATGGCTGTATTCCAAGCATGTATGCACCCCTTGAAATCTCTAAAAACATCAAATCAACTGTGCATGCATCTCCTACACTTCGTTTTTTCGCTGAATGAAACGGGAGGAAGGCAACCCGTGCCCGTGCACAAGTGCACACCCACTTCTAAACAAGGGCAGCATTTGCAAGGGCTGCCCCACGCAACTTCATCTCTCACCCACACTTCGCGAGAAACTCTGCGAACACAGCATGTGCTGAACCTTTATGGAATGACGTGGAGGAAAAGGTGAACTGTTCCCGTCGTTTTTGCACCAGTTTCAAATAGTGCTGCCTTCAAACTTACCTGGCATCCGAACTGCAGCCAAACCCTACTGTAAACCCTCGATTGTAAAGCGTTGAAGAAACAGGGAGCGGCCGGGTCACTCGAAGGGTCCCTCGCTCCAGGCTAAGTCGTAATGCTGGAAACAAGCTGCGGCATCCCCGTTTGAAATTCAATCGTGACCCTTACGATTGTGATTGGGGACGGCGTGGAATCATTGGGAATCATCAAACCAGTATTTCTGTGAGAAATCTGTGAGAAACCTGCTACTGTAGCGGGTTCTGTGAGAAACAAGTGAGAAATAAAAACCGGTGGCCCAGTGTCTGTGAGAAAAGCTGTGAGAAACCTGTGAGGAAGGGAGCCGGCGGCCGGACCCAAACACCAATTTAAGTTACCATAATAGGGAATTATAGTAAATAATATGGTTTCCTTATTATGGTAACTGCTTACAAGTTTCTCACAGCTTTCTCACAGATCCCCTGCAACCCCCACAGCCTTCTCACAGGTTTCTCACAAGATTCTCACAGCCTCCTCTCACAGGCCTCTCCAAACTCACAGACACCGCTCACAGCCTTCTCACAGAAATAATGATTTTGCTCCACTGCAGTCATTCCAAGGCCCCTGGGTCACAACCTTACGAGACACCTGCCCAGCCACAGACTGGAAATCATGGGAACTAAGTAGTTCTTCGAAGCAAACATCGAACTATGCTCGACGCATCATCGACTATGCAGCCCGTCACCGCCCTGGAGCGGCCCCAGCCTTGCTGGGTGGGTTCTCGATTTTTCAATGCTTTTCTGAACGGTTTTCGATGTTTTTTCTCTGATTTTCGGAAAATTTCTTTAAGGCGTCCTGAAAAAACCTATTTTTTAAGGCCCTCGGAACCTGAGCGGTCCTTACGAGTATCTGCCCATCTATCCATCTATCAGTGCTGAGCATCCACATGAGGCAGGAGCTTGCTGACAACATCTTTGGCCACTGCGGCATTGTCCTGGACACTTGATGAATCACTTGGCGGTACGTGCATCACCCTTATCCCATGTGCTATCTCTATCTCACTAACAAGCCCACGCCACCGAGGCAAGCAACAAGTCACTTTAGGTCTTCCGGGTTAGGCTCCGGCAGCAGCTGTGAGCAAAGGACGGCCAGGGCAGTGTACCCGATTGGGCAGGTCTTCCAGTCGAACGGCTGCAGGACCGGCTGGCAGGTACCCTCACGGAAGAAATCTTTCAATCCTGGTCTCGTGCACATCCCATGCTCTGGAAGCATGCGCCTTGTCAAGCAAGTGCCGCGTCTTGGGATCCCCAGCCTGCTGCCAAACCTTACTCGCTGCAGTTGCAGAGGCTGAAAGTGAAGCTTTTCGATGGCCGAGCGCCCTGCAGTGAGGACGTGCAGAATCATGTTATCTTCATAGTCGCATCCTGCCCGCTTGACATGGACGGCTGTTTTTGGGAAGCTACAGTATCGCTAGCCAAGACACGGCAACTCTCCACCAAGGTCTTGAATGTCGAGGTAGCCTTGGCAGTGTCGAGGCTACCTCCCAGACAGGACCTACGCTGGTCCAAGAGATTCAATTCAATGCTCCAAATCGCGCACTACGCTGCGACTGGACTTCTGATATCGGTGTTCGTTGCATCATGACTGGGAGCGGTGCTTTGCTGCTGCGCTTCACTTCCAACTTGGCTTGCGATTCAGGAGACCTCTCAGAGAATGCAAATACAACACCTCTCTATCGCACCCACGTCCGACTGCAGGTCTTGCTAGGCACATTGCAGCAAAGGGAGGAGCCGGTCTCGTGCAATGAAGTATGCCTCAAAGGGGGTCACGAGGAAGACTTTCTTGCCGCGAAAGGAAACCATCACGGGGATCACTGCAGCCGGAGTGCAGCATCCCACACTTGGCCGGCCCGACTGATTCTTTCGGCCTGAGATTTCTGGGCATCAATTGCAGGTCTAGGAACAATCGCAAGCCCCTCATGACTCTCGCCTTTTGCCAGATGGCTTGGATGCCTTAATCCTGGTGAGTTTCCCCTCTTAACAGGGCCCTAGCACGCGGACCTGGCTTGACACCTGGCGTATAATTTTCGGAAGCCTCAACAAGATAGCACAGCTCGCTGTTGAAGGCCGGGCACTAGTGGGAGGTCTGTCTCACCAACCTGCCACAAGGTCCTGTCCGCCTCCTTCTGCACGTCAATAGGCGTCAGCTGATAAGAGATACACCTTCCCATCCTGACTGCAAGTTTCGAACACGCGCGAGCTTCTTCCTGCTTTCACACACATTTGCCATTTGCGTCTTGTCCATCTCTTAGAACCGCCATCAAGACCAAGGCAAGACGCAACTGGATGCCGACGAGAAGCGGTGTGTCGAAGGAAAGAATATCCATCCAAATGTTGCCAGGAACTTTCCTTTTTCTGCAGCTTTTGCTGATGATTTCGCGCAAGGGGTGGATGAGCTGAGAGGCTACATGGCTTTTGTATGGGCTTGTGGCGGATCCCAGGACGAACAACTTTCATGTTGACAGAGATACTGGTATTGCCAGTATCGTGACAAATTTCTAGTTCAGTGCAGTGTGACACTGGGTCACAGCGTCACGCAACACCGGTTCCGCTGGCAAGCGAGAAGCGAGGCGCTATCTCTGTTCTGCACATGGTAGCTAGGAGGAAATTGCCCGTCGTGCACGCTCGCCCAGGCCAACGGCAGAACACTCCGAGTTCCATGCCGAGCCAACTGCAGCACAGGGTCTTCTGATGAATGTACAAAGGAATATGCCGGCCATGCGGGCCTGTTCCAAAAAGATCTCCGGCCGGCCAGAACCTGGGGCCAGGAAAGAGACGGAAAACCATTTCTTGCTCCGAAAATCATGGTTTGCCCTCTCTCCTGGCAAGCGGCTGCACCAAAGCTGCCGGGAAGAAAAGCCCGTTTTGCAAGAAGCCTCCAACAAGTCCGGGACGTACTGGGCTCAGCCAATTTGATGCATTCAGCTTGAGAAAGGCCAGGCGGAAGACATCCTGACAGGATGCTAGTTTTTCTGCAGTGGCGCCACGTGACGCTTCGGTCCTTGTATCCATGGAGCACGCGAGTGAAGAAATCCCGTGATGCCATGTAGTTGGCCAAGCAAATAGGCTTCCAGTGTCTCTCCTGCAAGTGAGAAGCCACTGATCCGCAGCTTTCCAAGTCTTTCGAAACATCTTGCAATATGTAAATGTGCGTAGCCTGACGCCACTGCAGCTTCAGCGCAACCTAGCATAACCACTTCTACAACAACACGAGGAAGAAGTAGGAAGGGTCCCGATCGATGAGGAAGTGTCCAGTCTCGTGCTCCTGGGCATACTGCCTCAGAAGGTCTGTCTGCAAGTCGTGCTTGACGAGACTGACACATCAAACGTGGATTGTCAGACCTCGCCTTTTTCCACCATAACCTGTAACCCAAAGTGCCGAAATGTGCCGAAGAATGCTCGAGCGCAGTGCAGCCTGGCTACATGTCCGAGGCGTTGTGCTGCAATTGCAGCAGCCTAAGAGGAGGAAAGGACCCGCAGAACTGATGACTGATGGGGAAACATGCGAAGGCCTCGCATGCAGAGGCGCTTCCTAGAATCTCAGATAGAAACAATGATGGCTCATCATGATCAAAGCCACGGAGGCCTCTGTCTAAGGTGCCTGCAGGCCCACAGCCCCCAGATTGCTGCACTCAAAAGCAAGGAGCTTCAGAGCCACATGACCCGGCCACGAACTTTGGCCCCACGGCCGGCAATCGAAGGACCAGTGGTCCTGGAATGCAGAGCATGACGGAGAAACTCCTAACCTCCGGGGCACACGTAAGCAGAAGGGCTTGCTGAAGTGAACGTCTGCTGCGCAATGGTAACAAGCCCTTACTGGTACATGACATCTTGCGTGTGGCGGAGGCACATTCAGTTTAACCCAAACCCAGTCGAATAAAGGTACAGTATGTCTCACTCTCATTGACTACGTCACTGCATGTCACCGCCATGAGCCAGGTCAGTGCAGTCAAGGTTCCGGCCAGAACAGTGCGCCAGTACCTCAAATTTTCAACGGGTGCTTCTGCGACGCGTGTCGCAGCATTGGGCTTTCGCTGGACATCGCCGAGGTGCTCTGATATTGAGGTGAATCGAAGAGCTCCTCTGGTCTGTACAGCAGCGTGATGTCGGTATCAAGCCACAAGATTTCCCGGAAGGAGGATGCCATGATGGACCTTGGCGGCGCTGCTTGGGAGCCTGCTTTGTGCATCTTTGTGCTGCAAGCGTCCGTTTTTTTCAGCGCAGGGGGAACACTAGCTAGCACTTCTTGAGTAGGGACTTGTGCGACTTGTAGTGCGAACGAGCATCGGCAGAACGGTCTCAAACTGGCGGTAAACCCCTGGCACCTGCTTCAAGGCCCAGCGCTGCAGCAGCTGCCGGAAGGAGGTAGACCAGAGACCGAGTGAACCAGAAAAAAGGAGCTTTCGCAAAGAGAGCAAGCGAGAAAGCGAGGAAGCGAACAAGCACTGATGCCGCAACGGTTCTAACACCTCCTAGCCCTTTCAGCACCCAGTGCCTGAAGCTGCCGGCATTTGGCACCACGCGTGGCTAAGGCTTGGCAGTGGATGGGTTCCAGCTCGAAAGCATGCCAGAACCTGAAAAAGATCTTCGGAGCGATAAACGCTTCAGGTACAGGCGTTGAGCAGGGGCATGGCTGAAACATCACCACTTCTCTTTGCGAACATCTCCAAACAAGAGAGCAGCTCACATAAGATTGACTTCATCCAGTCTGGGTTTGCAGCCGAACCATGGCTTGGCTGAGTCTTGCGATGAAGGGTTCAGTGTTTAACTGTTAAAGAAGATCTCGCAATCGCTAAACTGCCCTCCGATGCTCTCCAGGTCCAAGTCAACAACTTCCTCCACCATCCCCTGCCATACAACAACCAAAGAAGTTCGATTGCTAGCGGCCCCTGCAACTCCAAGCTCTGAAAGCCATCTGCAAGCGGCAGGCTCTACAGGCATGCCGGACTTGAGCTCCGTGCGGAGCACCTCCAAGTTTGCCAAGGCCTCACGGTGATGGCCGAGGCCATGAAGTGGCAACGACAACGACACAAATTTGCCCAAGGACTGCAAGGACTACAGCCGGCAACTGCTCATCAGATACTCAAGTGTTCCATCACATCCACTAGCATCCACTAGCACCCGAGCCTGTAGCACGTGCATGGGACCTCCGCTCATGACAATCCCTCTGCCTTCGAAGGAACCTGGACAGGGCAGGGATCAAGTCTTTTCGTGGACCCCTTTCTCGACAATTCCACATGCTGGTCGAGCACCATTAAACAACCCTCGCGCATCAAGTTGGCCGAATCTAGATTCTCCAAATCTGTTTCTTGTAAAGTGCGGGAACTCGTGCATCACCGCCTGGCTGTGGTACGGGGGCATTCTGCAGCTCCTTTCCAAAGTGCCGGGGATAAAGTCATGAAAGCAATTTTTTGAGACAGCACCCAGTTACCGAGTTTTGCAAACAGAGACGCACACGCAGATCACGGCGCATCCAGCCTTCAAGAAATTCTTCAGAGCTTCGGCCTCCGTTGGCAAATGCCGCAGACACCTCACGGCAAAGTATGTGGCAACAAACCGGTGCAAGCACTCCGTTGTCCATTCCTCGCTCTGTTTCCCACTCAACGGCCCGAATTGGAGGCTAGAGACTCCTCCTGTTTCATGAAGTGGCCTCGGCTGGCAAATACCGGCTGTTTGGTGCATGACATGGCGCCTCCGGCACAACACCTCCTTCTGAGCCAGGCCAAGTCGCTACAGAATATGTCATCATCCGTCTCAGGCACAACTTGTCCCATTGCCAGCGCCCACCACCTCCGGCGTCAAGAGTTGAGCTGTTGTCAGCAGACATAATTTTAGAGAGCCCGACACGGTATCAGGGCTTATCGGATGCGCCGCAAACTCACAACCTCGACATGTTCCGCCCCTCGGTTACAGCTACTTGGACATTCCCGTGGTTGTTTGTGCTCCAGCCCATGTGACAGCTGAGATCAAATGCAGCAGAGCAACAACACGATCACGGGCGTTTTGGAGGAATGGATACGGCGAGCCGGCGGACAGCTGCTCCAAGCCATGGCGAACTCGAGGCGAACTTGCGAGCCTGTGTCATCTACTAAACTCGACGCAGGCTATCTCACTCGCTTGCGTAGTTGAGCTGCGTGTGTGATGTCACATCTCCAAAGAGAACACGGAAGGAACCGTGACACATGCGCTCGCATCAATCTTGAGATCTTTCCTTGGAACACCAACTCCCCGAAGACAATGACATGCTGGCAATGCATTCCTGATTGAACATGGGCCTCCTTTCCCAAAGCATGTATGCCGTTGGGGAAAACGAGATGTCCACGAGGCCTTTCGAGCCGCATATCCTGCTCTCTCGCACTCTTTTCGCTTACTCTCGGCTCGTCACTCCGGCTAAGCAATGCCAGCTTCTCCGAGACCAGGTCCAGAGCTGCCTACACAGCCAGAAGCAAATGCTTATGAAAAAGGTACATGCAGCAGTACTTCCACGATCACACGAGACGGGGCCCTGTCCTTGGCAACCTGAACGTGGTGCTCCAACATGCTTTTGCTGATCTGCTGCAGGTTCATCGTGACTGCTTGCACGATGAGGCCCGGCAGCGTTGCAAAGCCTCGTGCAAGACGTTAGCCAGTGCTCGCACTAACAATTGAAGCACAAAAATACCACAAGTCTTTAAGTATTACCGCAGGTAGACAGCCCTTCCACACATCCTCCGCCCAAGAGCAACAGCCAAGCTGCGCTGGATGTGCGGCAGCTGCTCCCAATCCGCGAACTGTACCCAGTAGCCAATAACGTCTGGTGTCGCATTGAAAGAGTTCCACCAAGGTGGAAATGGATGCCTGAGGGCTTGGGGGAACCGCTAGGTTGAAAAACCGAAGCATGCGGTGAGAATTTTGGCATTGGGCGAAGCCATCTTCAAGCTGCAAGCATTAGAGATGTAGGATTTTTTGTGCCACCCAGTCTTCCAAAACTGATGCGCCTCGGCGATGAGCTTCCGTCTGCATCAAGCCCAACCTTCGCCGAATGGGAGCTTGTGTCAGGCACTGCAGAAAAAAGACCACCGTCTCACAATTGAAACGCTGGGGCTCGAAGAACTCTTAGCGTTTGCAGCCTAGCGAAGACCGAGCTCCGGTCAGGAACTGTGGACATCCATTTGGGTGCCACGCGGCCGTACTTGCCCCGTAGGAAGCGTAACCCCAGTTCGACATCCGTTGCGCTCGGAAGAGGCTGGCAGAATCAGGCATCAGCAGTGGAATCGCCAACCCTTGGCTGAAGCACTCTTTCCAAGAAAAGCCTACAGTAGATGTTCAAGAGACATGACGGCAACTGGGCACGTAGTTCGGAGTGGTGGTGGTGGTGGTCTTCGTAGTGGTAGTATTGCTGGTGGTAGTGGTGGTAGCAGTAGCAGTAGTAGCAGTAGTAGTAGCAGTAGTAGTAGTAGTAGCAGCAGCATTTTAGTACCTGGTGGTTGTAGCAGTAGAACACTGGCCGAAAGGTCGTGATCTCGTTTTCGCCTTATGATGCGTGGTGGGCATGATCGCCGAGCAGCGGTAGGCCTCGTGGAAAGTGCGCTGGTGCAAGTCATTTGGCCAAAGGATGGCAGCGTCAAAGCCTCACGCTTAGGGCACGTCGGCACACGCTGCATTACCATGCGCGAAACTGAACAACTTGCCCGACGTCAACCACACTTGCAACTGCACGTGAAGTATTCGTGAGGTCAATGCGGAGTTGGGTAATGTGGCAGGCCAAATGCAACCCGCCCGCTGGCCAATTGCTGCAGGGAAAGCCATTGCTCGTCAAATTGATTGTCCTTGCCCAGGAAGACCACCTTGCAAATTGCAAACACTCAAAACGTTGAACCCCTCCGGAGCATGCACAAGTGCATCACCGATCGGCTGATCCTGGAACCGTCGGGCCTCCAAGGGGTATCTGGGGAAATTGATGGACACAATCTCTCGCAGAAGCGACCGTAAGAGCTCGCCCCTCAGGGACACGAAGAAGCGGGACCTTCAGACTCAGTGGTGCGTCTTGTGCGGGCATGACTAAACAAGCGATGCAGAAGATCAGAAGGCTCTGGGAGAAGGCTTCGCCAGCTTCTAAAAACGAGCATTGAAGTGGTTCGGCAACTTTGCAGCAGTGTCTAGGTGCAAGCGAAGGGTTTACCGAGGTTTGCGAGTGGGGACTGTCAAATGATCCACAGAAAGTCTGATGGCATGAGTGGTGCATGTTATCGCCTGCCCGTTGGCAAATCCACCCCGTGCATGCCTGTGCAAATGCCGGGGCCGCCCTCGACGGGACTAGCACAGCCGTGAACAGAAACTCATGCCCTCTGTCATGACGACGCTCAGTGCTGCTGTGCAGGCTGAGCGGGGGTAAGGGGATTCACAAGCACCGCTGAAGGCATTTCAATGTGAGACGTTGCTTGTGTTGACGAACTCTGTGAGCATCACAATAAATTGGAGTACTGTCCAGCATCTCCTTTCTGGCTTCAACGGATCAAGAACATGTGAATCATGTGAAGACTATGCACCTCAGGACCACGGCACGACGCGTCGACCCGGGCTGGCCACCCTGCCAACTCCCTGCCGCCGTATAGAGCCCCAGCGGTGGCACCCAGGGAACCTCCATTCTCACCTGCCCGACATAGATTGCTATCAGGACATGGTAGGCGGCGCTTCAAGTTGGCAGTGCTTAGCATCTGCAGGGTCAGCTAGGCATTCCAATCCGGTATCATCTTTTAAAGTTGACATTGTCAAGTGCCAGCGCAAGGTATAAACAAACAAGATAAGCTGCTCCACTCCTGTCAACGGCTCCCCTCAGGCCACAATTTCTAGTGCTTGTTTGCAGCACACCCAATTCGGTTGAGCCTGGTGTCGGACTTGCTCGGCCAGAAAGCGCCCCTCTGCCATAAAGACCAGATTCTGATTGTTGAGGAGGAGGTTGCGGGCGAGCTGCAGATACCTGCAAACAAGACGGTTGCCTGTTAGCCACGGCGATCATATCTAGCCCTGGCCCTGCACACGAGTGCAAAAATAGCCATTTCGGAGCAAGAGCTGGTCTTCGGAGCACCGATTGCAGAATGCAGGAGACCACCGCAAACCTGCCTCTGTGCCAAATGCGAAGTGCCAAAGTATCGCAGATTGGTGTACCATGCGTCGCGGTCGCAGTTTTGACAATGCAGACCATAGAGCAGCGTGGACGATGCATGTACGAACATCGGCTTCGGAAGGACCTGCGAGTACAAAATCAAGATCTGACTGGCGCACAAGACCGTAGCGTGCGCAAATGCAGAAATACCTGCATGCAACATCGAGAAGGTTGCAATCATGGAGGCTTCGCTTTGAAACTCTTTGCTGTAATCTTGCCTCTGCCATGAAGAGGCACAGCAGCGTCGGGTGCGAGCAAACCACAAGGTCTGCCAGCTGTAGCCTGGCATATCTGACTAGCTGTTGACAACAGGCCTACACAACACGGAACTGCAAGGCTCTTGCCAGCTGACACAGAATGCAGCAAACAAAGGGTACAATGGTTCATCCGGTGGGAGTCACGGCATATGCAGGGGATCCTTGGTGGCGCATCATGCAAAACTGCACACCGCCTCTGCTGCTCGCCGTCCCACCTTCCGGCCCCATCAATCCACCCTTCAGAAAATCCTGCCTCGAGTCCCTTGCGCTCGCCTCTGCCAGGGAATGGCGCCTGAACGGAAAACCGGATTGAGGTTCGAAGGATGGTCCTCGGAAGTGGAGCTTGCAGCTGAGGACCCCAGTATTGCTCCCTGCCTCTCGTCCAAATCCCAAGGAAGCTCGTCGAGCGACTCGGGATGGATGATTCCGTCCAGCCACTCTGCGACCGGGTCGGCGACATCCTTAGCCCACAGGCACACAAGCCAACCGTAATAGTCCTGTATCGCACAGCTTTCCCGCGCAACCGATCAGATTGGCCATCCTCGAAGCAACTGTATCGAAACTCATGTTTGCAGGCTTGCGACCTCTTGTGGACCACAACCCGACCCGAGCAACTCACAGCGCTGTCGGCATTGATGTCCTGATGGCGAAACTAGAGTCACGAAAGCGTGTGGAGCATCGGGGAGGTCAGCGCCGCGACACCAAACATCATCTTTCAATTATCCCCCCCTCCCACCCATCCACGCAAACCCCGTCCATAAAACCTTTCTAGAAAGCCCTGCTAGAAACGCCCTTGACGGCTCTAGACTCTAGAAGCCTTTCCATGAGCCCGTCTACAAAGCCTCCTAAAAATTTTGAAAAACCTCTCTACAATCCCTTCTATAAACTCTTTCCTTCTGCCAGTGTAGATCACACGACCAAAATGCTTCCCCCCACCGATTCAGGACCACGGCCACAATGCTTTGGTGGGATTCAGAATTCAGGAGGATGGCCAACTGTTTCCCCCAACGGCTATCGGGTCTTCGAGGTCCGAAGGTGGCCATTGATGTACCATGGACCTGGCTCTCCAAACGACGCCTGCTTCCGGTGGATCGTGTGCGGTGCCACGGCGGGAGCACACCACCCGATTTTCTGTACACCCAAAGCGCACAACACCCTACTAGTATACGTTTGAGGAACAAAGCCTTTCTATATGCCCTTCTACAAACCCTGGACTACAATACTCCCAACTATACTGGTGGATTCAAGACAGGTCCACAATGTTCCGCCGCACGTACTTGTGCTGGCGTGACTCAGAGACACGACCACGAAGCTCCCTCCATGCACTGGCATGCAGGATTCAGAAATGTGGAGGCTAAAATCAACGTGGCACCGCAAGCGCAGCGCCAAAAATCGCTTGATCCATCGAAAAGGTATCGCGCCTGCCAGAGGACGATGCGGACGCAGCGCGTCCACCGAGAGGGTTGTCATTTCCGAGCACGAATCGTCGCGGCAACACGCGTGCAGCGTGACTGGGCGCGACCAAAATCCTTCCTGTCATGTACTGGCGGGATTCTTCCGAACACGAATCGTCACGTCACCACATGCACAGCGCCACTCCGCTTGACCGAAAACACTGGTGGAGAGGGTTGCAACTCCTAGGACGAAGTGTCACGCGCCACAATCACCACACGAAACAACAACGTTCGCCAAGTGTCAGTAAAAAACCTGAGGTTGTTCTTTCAACACGAACAGCTGCTGGCCTTGCCCAGTGTGCTTTGGGCAGAAGCGACCAAGAAAATCTCCTTGGGAAGGCTCCGCCCATGTCCACTACTTGCGAGAGATTCGCAAGTCAAACCAACAAAGAAATGCCGAAATTGCAGTCCAGATGACGCTGCATCTGGAGGTCCCCCAGAACAAGTTCCAGGCTTCTTTGGACCATCAAAACGGCATCAAAGGTGGCCGTCAGATGGTCCCCTGCCACTGCTGCAGTAATGCCGCAGGTCCCAGTTTTACTTGACAGTTGGTAGCCGATAAAAGTAAATAAGAAGCCTACACCGCACAGCCGCACTGGCGCAGCTTTTGGGAAGAGGAGCCGCAAAGAGTCGGAGTGACTCAACTCCCGGCGGCCTGCCAAAGGCGCGCCACAGCTGTACAAAGCACATGTCACAAGACAGGATGTTTGCTTCACCGGCTCAGGCTGGCTCTGCAGAAGCCTGGCATGCTGACAGGTTCTCGCCGATGAGAGAGGCTCCTCGGCAAAGGCACAGTAAAACCCTTCGTGCAACATCTGGTGGTTCTGCTGCCAGTATTTGGCGCATGTTCGGAGATCTTGCGGCAGCTTAGGCTTAGAAGTCGCGCTTGGCGAGCAGGCTTTAACATTTAGGTCAACTTTTCATGGCTTGCACTCCACGTCGATCCGCAAATGTCTTACACGGGGTGCAAACGATTTGATGCGCTGAATGCCGGTGACTGCAGCTTGCCATCCTGGCCCTCGTATTCTCTGCAACAATTCTTGCACCTCTTTGGCCACCAGCTCCGCCGTGGCCGCCTCTGCGTCCACCGCAGCATTCCAATGCACGTGCAGCATGCCACCAGTGGGGCGCAGCGCTGTGACGGCAACAGGAAAGCCGTCGCGGCTGTACGGAATCAAGCCCAGAATGACACGGTGGCATGTGTCGCGAGTCTCGTTGATGACCTCTTGTCGCCGGTTGTCTCCTGGTAAGACCTTGCAGCGAGCAGCGGGGTCGCCAAGCAAGTGCAAACCCTCTCGAAGACCAGCAAGGGCATCCGGATTCCACTCGCACGCGACAACCTTCGCCGCCCCGGCCACAAGAAGCGGCAGAGTCCAGAAACCAATTCCCGCATACATGTCTAGAACCGTCTGCCCCTCGACTGGCCAAGATGCCACCCGGTCTTTTTCTGCAGCATTCCCCTCAGAAAACATACACTTTGTGATGTCAAATGAATACCGCACACCTTTCGGCCCGGGTACCACTACCCAGCCACTCCCGGTGCCAGCCAATACTTGCACATTACCTCCCCGGACCACGTCATCCACCCGAATTTCTTGCTGCCGACACAGGAGCCGGGCATTCACAGCTTTCCTGATGCACTCCCACAAACCACCATTGACTGATTGCGTCTTTTGCTCAAAAGCATCCCATTCCGCACCTGCCAAACTGCCACGTGGGAGAAGAGCTACATCCCCGCGCCACTGTAGTGCAGGCAGGCTCTGAGCATCCTTGAACAAAGCCTCAAAAGATGCAGCGTCATGTGGGCCTGGGCCCATCTCAAAAAGGCCCTGGACAGCTTCCGCTATCTTTGCCTGCTCTGTGGCTGCTGGGACCGCGCTCGTGCTTTCAGAAGGTTTGGTCTTTCTAGGAAGAACAGAGCTCTGAATGATGCGCAGCTCCCCACGCCGCAACCTCCACAGCTCGTTCAAGTTGGCAGCGACTGTTGGAGGGCGCTTCTTCTTAGGCACAGATCCTGCAGGGTGCAAGTCAGTTTCGGGCAATGCTTCCGCCAGCTCCGTCTCAGCAAGGGTGACGTCCTCCGGCACAGTGGTTCCGCTACGGCTGACATCCACCTCTTCTGCTTCGGCCTCGGAGATGGCCTGCAATTCTTCGACCGCCTCCTCATTCAACGGGATTGCAACGGAGGGATTGGCTTGCGCTTCCGCCGCCTCCGCTCCATAACTCTGCATTTTGCGACAATTGTCTAACCAGCCGCGGGCTTCTAATGCCAACTTGACGGAGCGGGCGCATTCCTGTGGACAAACAAAGATCCATGGCTGTCCTTGCTCCATGCCTTCGATGCCTTCGTCCTTCACCACCAAAGCCTCCCGCAAGTTCCTCCACAACCGTGCCACCCGAGCGGCATTTTCATCTAAGCGACTGTTGGCGATTCTGACTAAGGTCTCGAAGTAGTTGCTGTCCACAAGAAGAGTTCCATTCATCGCTAGTGGCACTTCCAGGCGGGTGCCCACAGTTCGGATTTGCACCATGACGCGCTTCCTTCCCAAGCTCACTCCACTCTCGCGGAAGCCTGCATCTCTCGCAACCCCGAGGATGTGCTGAGCTGTAGCCGCATCGGCACACTCTGCATGAAGAACAAACGGTTCCAGCAGCAGCGAGGTAAGTGTGCCGAGACCTGCGGCATCCTGTCGTGTGTCGAGTGCTTCACGAAGCTCCTGCCATGATCTCGTACTGTCCGATAAGGTCTCATGGCTGGCCAGCAGCCACTCTCCACCTTTCGAGTTGGATGCATCTGCAGAGCCATGGAAAATCGCGATGCGGCCACTGCAAGAGGATGTTGTCACAAGAGCCGGCTGCTGGTTCAGCCAATGGATGAAAGCCACGATGGGTGCATCAATGGAACCTTTGGGACTCTTGTCCAACGAAGTGAGGATCTGGCGCTTCCGCGCGCAAAACTCTGCGTGGGTTGCCATGCCAAGTGCTTACGGGGCATGGGCCGAGGACCCTGCAAAATTAAACGGCTTCTGGAAAATATTATGTAGTGCGAATGAAGCTAGTCTGTATGGATCCGCAAAGGCGTAAGAATAGTATCAATGTGTCAATGATCGATTTCCGAGAATGAACCCATGAGATTCGAGAGCTACTGGCAAACGAGTGAGCCATGTTTCATACCGAAGGCATATATTACTGTCGATTGCAACCGCATGCAACTTCGGGCAAGAGTCGAGCTGATGCGGTTCTGTCAAAATACGATTGAAGCGTTGTTGCTCTGAACATTTCTGAACCCTCAGCCACCGGCATCGGAAATCGGTGCCGCCGGAATGGCTGCCCCAGATCCGCCTTCCTGGGGTGTACGAGTTTTAGGGGAGTCAGCCGCCCACCTTGCTGCTTACAGCTAGGGCTCTGGGTTTCCAGATTTATGATGACATCTTCCAGGGGCACCGCCCAGCCCGTGTTCTCAAGGAAGCTAAACTCGACGCCACCTTTACTGTTGGAGTCGCTGACCAGTGTATACGCCTGTCCAGGGCCCAGGGCTTCGGCTGCACATGGAATAGGCTAGTTGCACACTCACTTCTCGCTCTTACATGTCCGGGCGCAACTGAAGGCCAAGTGCATGCCGCGGGGCCGTGTCCATGTCATTGAGGCCGACTATTGGTGCAAAGATGGTCTTACCATGCGCTTCGAACTTCTGCGGCTCCATGTCCAACATCTGCCGAGCTCGGAGGAAAGCCGCCGAAGTGAGGCCGAAGAGGCAAAATCCCTCCAAGTGGCCATCATGAGTGTACCTGGCTCTCACGTGTCACAGCTCTTGCAATCCCGCATTCTGGCCAAAAAGCCTTAACCTCAAAGATGAGGGCGAGGCGCTCATGCCGTAAACGGGCCATGAAGAGAGACCTCCCACGAATCAGGATCTCATCGTTTGTGACGATGTGGTGACTGATGGCAGTCGCCTCCAGACTCTCTGGTGAGATGGAGTCCAATACGACCCAGAAGGATTTTTAAGCTTCCAGTTGACAGACTGTGTTACTGTGGTATCCAATGTCGTCCTCGCCTCCGCCACCATCTCCGGGTCCAGTGGGAAGTTGCCGGCTGCCTGCAAGAGCACCTTCGGATTCGGAAGCCATGTCGAGCACCTACACCGACATGCCCACTAGGGCCTACAACTCGCTTTCTGGATTCGGAGCACCTGCTTCCGGAAGTGGTCCCATTGAGCATCGAAGTCTGGGCCCTCACCTTGCGCCGTAAAGGCACTTGAGTCAAAGCGAAGCTCTGGGTGTGGTATGTGCATGTGGAGAGCAGTTCAGGAAGCAGGGCGTGCGGAGCTCGCGCGCCGCGACCAGCCTCACTGCAAGTTAAACCACGAGGTTTCTCCGCAAGAGGCACCAGGGCGGACCAAACTGATGTGCACGGTCTGCTGCAGCACTTGAGCTGAGACACGGGTCGGCCTCTGCAAAGCAGAGGTGAGCATTGGTTTGTGGCGTGGGTGGTGTGAGCAGCTCATCTGTCCTTATCTTCGGATCGAGACATGCAGCAAAGGTTGAACATGGCTCTCACTGTCTGATATGGTGTAGCTACCATCAGGTCACCACGCCAATGCTACGAGTATCAACTTTCAGTGGGCTTCTTGCAATCCGAAGTTTCGGGCGCTGGACCTCCACCGGCACTATTTCTCCAATCCCGCGATGGATGCGGAGCACCTCGCCACCCCGGACCTTAGACACCGAGGGACCAAATAGTAGAGTATACTGTATCAACACGAGAGTATGTGAGGGCCAGTCTCCAAAGTGTCTGCTGACATGCCAGGGCTACGAGGATGAGTAGACTTTATGGACAAGCTCGCTGGCAAACATGGAATGGACAAGGGGCTGCACGAAATGTGGTGTTTCCCCATTCGTAGCCCTTTTCCAACTGCTCTTGAATCCACTCCTGCATTCAAAGGGCACTCAAAGGGCGGACACTGTATAAAAGTTCCAGATCGACAGCTGAGATCAGGAGAGGACACATAAAGACTTCTGAATCAGGGTCATTCACAGCTGGCATCCGCCAAAATGCATTGTTTGGAATGAAGGGTGGGTCAACCGGCTGGCCTGTGGGTTATCGACAGGTTTCCTGTAAGATTGGGTTTTTCTGTTAGACAGGCTTTGGTGTGCTGGGTGAGGTTTTCCTGCTAGTTAGGGGTTTCCTGTTCGACAGGGTCTTCATGCAAGACAGGGCTTGCCTATTGGAGAGGATCTTACGAGTCCTGACTTGGCAATGGTTCTCTAAGTCTCTAAGTCTCCCTCTTCTCTCTGCCGAGTCCTTGGCTTCGAGGCCAGTCATCTGAACTGTATCTTCATCAAATGGTCGGGCCTCCCAAGCCGGGCATTCCACATGCACCCTGCTGCCTTCGCTCAGGAAGCACCGGCTGCACGATCTTGTGCTGCTTCTGCTGCAATGTGGACGGTGACGTTCTCTCGCCTCATCTCTTGTTTCGGCAAGCTGCCCTGCGAAATACCGTGGTACCAGAAATCTTGTCAGTCCGCAAGCAGGATGTATCCATAATGTTAGACGGTGCCCTCAAGGCCTCACTCCGACCAAGCGGCCAGGTTTCCAGGCAGGCAGAACGGCCCCCGGCACATGTAGCAAAAGCGACCAAGCTCGTAGCTGATGGAAAACCTGAGCTGCTCTCCAGAGTTTAAGTGTTGCGTCACTGCTCGGCCGCCGCAAGCCCCTGCAGGCCGTACATGCCCATATTTTTTTGCCAGGTGCGTCCTGTTCACCGGCACCCCCGTCGTTAAAACCTCGGCTCTGCTTGGAGTGTGCAGGACATCTTTCGTGAAATCACTGGGCGGACGTGTGAAGAGTGCAGCAGTGCTTGAAAGGCAACCTTGAGCAACCTCGACGTACTCACCCAGCATGAGCAGGCGGTTGAGAACCCAGCCGGCGCCTCCGTGAAGAAACTGCACGCACCAGCAAATGCTTGCATTAAAGAACTTTGAACGTGTAAGGCGCTATGGACCATGGCAGGTTTGGCAAACCGCCTTTTGGCCCCTGGCCTCCTGGTAGATTCGTGTTGTAGATGGCGACCATTCGGGGACGTTGGGCTTCCAGCCTGTGATCCAAAAGGCAGGGAGATCTGCAGTACGCCCAAGACCGGGGCATGTCCGTCAAACATCCCGCATCCCGCGACAATCAGCAAAGCAGGCACCGGCAAAAAACTGACAGCCTGTCTGCGTCTCAAATATACATGCATTTGTACGCACGCCTCTACATCCTGTACATATACAGCCGAACAAACCGTCTAATTACAAACAACTTCAAACAACACTCCGAGTGGTGTTCGCTTCGTTTACGCCCACGCTCTATGTGTCATTCTTGCTGACACATTGCACTCGCCAGTCGTCTGCGAACTCCTGTCCGCTGAGTCGGCTTGAAGCTCAACCGTCTTAAGTCTATCACACAGGCTTGGAAGAAATAGGATGTGGTTTATGCAAGCAGTCCTTGTACCCCATCTCCACGTCAGGATCTAGAAGGATCAATCCCAAATCCTGAACAGGTGCTGCCGGCTCGTCAATTCTGCACTGCCAAGTGCGTCTTGATCTACTCGCCTACGATGCGGATAGACACGGCCTCCACGGATTGGCATACTGGCCGCAGGTAACTCGAAGTGCTTCCAGGGACGAGAAACGCAGTCACTGGCTTCCAATCCCCTTTGCGCATCTCTCGCTGCCAGTGGTATTGGCTGCGGAGTTCCAATGTGTGCACCGCGACTTCGCTCTGCGCAAGCCTGCTCCTCACGGTCAGCAGCCTGTCACAGCTGCTCTGGTGCAGACTGTCCATGTGTCTGTTTTGCAGCATGAGTTCCCACGTGTTCCGGCCTGTCTAAATTCAACTCGAAAGTCACCAGGCGACGGTCTGAGGAGCTGCTCGGTCGCCGACGCAGGCCGTCAGCAAGCAGAGCCGCCGTGTCTCCAAGTCCAGCGTAAAGGTCCACCGTGATTCCTCTAAGGAGATTACAAAAGCAGGCTCTTTGCCGAGGGCTGCCTGCACTGCTGCGCCTGTGCCCAGCATCGCGGCGCACCAAACTTTGCGTCCGAACGTAGTCGTGCGACCAGCACCTGGTTGCTGCAGGCATGCATGCAAGAACGCCTGATGCAGCAAAATCTATAGTCCAGCCCTGTGATGTGAAGTCTTGCACACCAACTCCAACTGCTGCTAGAAGCCCTTGCAGAGGGACAAACCTCAAGAGTGTCACCTTTATCGACTGATGCTGGTATGCTGGAAGTTCTGTAGCATGGATTGGATCGAATTACTCAAGATCTGGCAACAATGTTCACCAGCTTCGCGTCACTCTCTTTATGACAGCTTCGGCGCCGCCGAATTCGGAAGCAACTGGTATCTGATCACAATGCCTTGCCGCCACATCGTCTTCCTGAACTGATTCGGCTTATTCGTGTGAGGGTTGCTCGAAAGGTCTCAAGAATTAGCATGCCGGGGACAATGGATTGCATCCAAGGCGGTCCTCCACCTGGTTTGCTGAACAGATTTCCGATGCACAGGTCTCCAAGGCTTCCTGCCAAGCCTGAATCACAGTTGGATCGCTTGCTTCGCTCGCGATGCTGCCCCAGGCGAAGCCCAGCAGCGCACGCACGCCCATGGCCGGTCATGGCGGGCTCATGCTTTACGAGGCTACGGCTCTGCTAAAGCACTCCAAGAAGCCGAGCTACCCGAAACAAGCGGAAACTCCAACTAATTGCGACAAGTGGGGGGTTTCAATTTCTGAGTATGGCTCGCGCGGCTTCGTCGTAACATCCGGTCATGTCCAGCTGGCTCACGTTGCGAAGGCCCCATGCAGTTCTTTTCGTCTCCAGCGGGCGAGGAGGAGTGCATCTCAACGTGCAGGGAGCGAGCAATCTGTACATGCTCGGCAAGACCTGCACGTGCAAGCGGATTGCTGAGATGCAGTGGGCTACGGTCTCACCATCTGGCAAGCATCACTACCTGCATGCACTTTCAGAAGATGTGCAGGGGCAGCAGGCCTGCTCTGGATGTCTGTGCAATTCGCAGAGCTCAGCCTTTGTTCCCTCAGCTGTCCCGTGTTGTTTGCTTCACATTGCGCCGCCTGCTGCTCTTCGCACTGCTCGTGCAAAAGTCCTATCAAGATTGTCCTAAAGCCCAATGTCGAACAGCGAATTTGTGTGCAAGAGAAAGCCCGTCATCGATGGAGGGCCTGGTTGAACCCGCCTCAAGTCCCGCACTGAATCTGGCCGAAGGTGGACTACCTGCACATCTGAATCCGGAATGCTAAAACACAAACTTACAAGAAACCTTGGGCCTTTATTCAAGAAAGGCCTGTCGCAAAGCGACTCAGGAGTGTGTCAGAACCCGAGCTAAGGCCACGAAGCGCTTTGGTTGGCGGGACCTCGATTTCAAGAGACGACAGGCCAAGACATACCAAGAGCATATGCAGACATCATCAGACATCCTAGATCCAAAACACCCCCACCACCTTTGACTACAGAGAATGCACCGCAAGACGTCTGCCACGCTGTAGAGCAATGAAGCAGGATTAGGCACACACTCTCTCCTGAAGTCTGGGTCCTGCATGACCGGCATCTGAGTTCTCAAGACAGGCTGCCCCAGCTTGCGGACCGGCCGGCATGTTTCCCCACACTGCCTCAGATTCTACTTGGACCACCATGTCTGGTCTCAGGGTTTTTCTGCAAAGGCTTTGGGCGCCTTGCACGAGTCGCGAAGTCAGAACCGTTGACAGTTGGTGAGACACGTTTTTCCAAGTCAATACATTTCTCTCCGACACGAATGCGAACTCCACTCTGTGGCTCGCTCACCCAATGTTGGCTTGCCCTGCCAGCAACGGCACTCCGCGCCATGTGAGTCAAGAGCCCATCTGCCACTTCTCAGGCGCAAGTCTCGCCCACTACAGACTCTAAGGCGTAAGTCAGCCTAAGTTATTCAGCCTAAGTCTGACAAAAGGCAGGGTCGCCTGCCCAAGCCGACAACCCAAAGCCCTGCTTTCGCTCCAAACACGCGACACGGAAGGAGGGCATGCGTGGAAGGCCTCATACGTGTTGAAAGTAGCCTGACGACGGCAACGACTATTAGACTATCACCACCACCACAAAAGCCACCACCACCACTACAAAAGCCACCACCACCACGACCACCACCACCACCACCACTACCACCACCACCACCACCACTGAATTATCACTATCAGCACAGCCCTCACGTCGCCACCATCATCCTTGTGATCTGAAGAACTCTCGGGGCACCCGAGCTGGTCTTCCGCAGCGCGCGCAGCGCTTGGGCTGGTGACCCGGCGAGGCAGCTCGGGGAGGCCGAGGCCTCGGATCCTGAGCGGAGCATGGAAGAAAGGAGGCAACCCAAAACCCCGCATAAAGGCACCTTCATGAGCCATGAGCAACGGGCCATGCCAGCAATCTACCCGGCGCTTCGTGTGCAACTCCGGCTGCACAGACACATCCCGGGACACAATCCAAGGCGGGACTCTGGTATCGCTAAGGTTGGAGTTGTTGGCGTGATGACGAGACACACTGGAGACACAAGTCCATGTCATGTATTCCGGCTTCAGATGGAGGCAAGACCCGCTGCATAAAATTGGGCGCTACCATCGCCACGGCTGCGGCTGACGTATTTTGCTGTGCCAGTGTCTGCTGCGTCCAAGTGGAGGCAAAGAAGGCATTGCAGAAGCCAGCTTGGTCTCCATTTTAGAGGATCTCGGCATGTCCTGAAATGTCCGTTCCGGGCGATCAGCTGCATGCTCTCTGCCGACACCACTAAAGCGAGAACTCCTTGACGATAACCTGGTCGTCGGCGCCACCGGCAGGCCTAGCAGCAGGGATCGCCGCACGCGCGGGACCACTCTCTGAGCTATTGCTCCAGCACCAACTTTAACCTGCTCGCACCTGCAAAGTGTCTAGTCAAACTTCATGGTGGCAGTGTGCGTCCAATGCTCACATTGAGTTCAGCATGCCAAAAGCCTTGCCTGCATGCTTGCAGTTGTGCTCTGTCAGCACCAGGCGAGGCCGACGCGACTTGCAAGACCCGGCCCTCCGCCTCAATCCTGGGGCTTTGAATCAACGCAGACTGGTGAAAGGCAATCGTTGAAGGCCCGCCTGCCACCTGACTGACTGGAAAACATGCATCTGTAACACAAGATATTTATCGCCAAGTTGCTTTCTGATTTCAGTCCTGCATCAGCGAGGAGGGGCTGTCTGATCCAAGATGGTTTAGACACAGGTTTTGCCGGCACTGGGCTCAAGCGATCGACTTCCTGCGGGTTTTATCTCTGCCAGTCCTGTCTTCCCGCACCAAGGGCAGAGGCGGTGGTGCGTCACAAAGGAGTCCAGCGATCTCTGCATCGGCTTGAGTTGGCAGGTGCCTGGGAATCATCTTGTCGGACATGGGAGACTCTGTTATGAGGGGTGCCAAGGCACAACTCCGCGCTCCATGGTTGAATGTCTCGGTAAGGATCGCCCAGGACGTCAAACTCTGGGCCGACGGACGAAGCACATGCCTGAGCAAAGTCATTGCCATAATCTGCGATGCCAGCTGTCCCGCAAGCTCAAGCAGCCATCGTGGCATCTTGTTCTAGTATGTATTCGTGGCTGTCTGGTGTGCTGTTTGCAGCACTCAAAGATGGCGGCCTACAGTACCCTTGATTTACCTTCTGTTGCGTTCTCAGTTGTTCTAAGCAACATGCCCAGTTCTTCAATGGTATCGATGTAGCCATCTGTGCAGCCAGGCAGCCTCCAAGACTTCTGGTGCCACAGACAGGCTTGGAAGAGATCGGCACACCCACTCCTGTTCGCGGTAGCCTCGGGTCCAGTTCACATCCGCTTCGTCTCCCATGTGCCAGGAACTGAGGCCATCACAGTCCCCGGCCAGGCGTGGGGACGCAGGACTTGCTTTGCCGAACGCGGTGCTATCGCGAAGGGCCACCGGCGCCGATCGAAGCGGCCCAAACCAGGTGTGACCGAGGCAGGCCTCTATAGCCTTGGAGTCTTCTCATCGAACGGACTCATCGAGTAATCGAGTATGAGGGAAGGAAATTCCACGCTGTCACGTCAAGTGGCGGGTCGTCGTTCAGGGTCTGTTTGCATCATCTGGCCCAGCAACTCTGCAGCTGACGATGGCACTGCCTGCTGGATTCTGCTGGATTTCAAAAATCAGAAAGCACGCAGAACGTCTGAACTGCCCCCTTGCACCCAATCCATCAATCTCTGGAGTCCTTCTTCCAGGAAGTGGCCAAGGCCCCAAGACCGTTGCTTTGGACCCACTGGAAGTACTTGTCTGTCGGCCGTGCCTCGGTGTTTGAAAAGCTCTGACAAGGTGGACATGCCCTGCTTGCGGCATGATGACAGGCCTGTCGCCAGGGCGGCCCAGCAAGGAACATAATGGTGATGCAGACCTGAGCTTGCTGCCAAGGACTGCCACAGAAGAAACTCCACCTTCCAACCATCTCATCTTGTTGGACAGAGAAAGCCACTGAGGCACCAACGGCACATGCAAAAATGTCGATTGGCGGAGCTGTGTATCCCCAGGGCTCTGCTGCACAAAGCTGTCCAGGCTCAGCCGCTTCCAACAGGCGCACATGACACAGGAAGTCCTCAGGGCAGAGGCCAGTGATGGCCAGTGTGCGCATCTTTCTCCATTGCACGAGGAACAACGGCAACCAAAGCCGTCCCCGCAGCTCATGTCAGAAGCCCGGCATGCACAATCACCGCACTCAGCCCTTGGACTGTCGTCCGGAAACCCCTTGTACAACCTCTTGCTGCATGTCCTGCGCCGAGGTCAGTGCCAAAGCAACCTGTCCCGCTCGAGAACTGGCGGGAGAAATTACTGCCAGCGTTCCTCGGTCCGGAGTCAACATCATCACAGCATCGCGACGTTTCGGAAAGCACTGCCAACCATAGGCTTCTTCACACTTCCCGATGGGATTCCTTGATTTGGGATGTAGGCCTCTGGTGGCCGATAGTAAGGCTTCCCCGCCGGAACAAAGTATCGACAAAGCTCGCCTGGCGGCAGTGTTGCAGACAGGTCTTGCAGTGCGATTGTTGCAGCACAGTGACCAGCAGAACTGAACCACTGTCGATTGAACAGCCACAGATATGCTTTTGCTACGATGGAGAAACCGCAAGCAAGCCTTTCTTTCATCAGAAAGGGAGTGCTGCAAGCCTGTTTCCAGGTGTGTCTGCACTGCTTGCCCGAAGTCCATGAGCCGAACATCTCCACCACTTAGCAGCACGTTCTCCAAGGAGATGTCACGGTGGCTGATGCCTAGGTTGGGCGGCAGAATCTCATGGACTCCAAAAGCTCGTTTTCATATGCTCAGGCTCCTCGAGGTTCACCATTATTCGTTGCACCCTAAACCCTTTTTTTGAACCCAGACTCTGTTGATCAGCTGGGAAGCAGCACTGCACCCTAAACCCTAAACCCTCATGAGCCGGGATGCCGTGCAAGTGTAGAAACTTCACAGCTTGAAGCAGCTGCCAGGCCCAAAGCATGATCTGTCCGGTGGACATTACCCGGGAGGACACCACACCTGCTTTTGCTCTCTCAGGTCTTTTTGAGAGTCTGGGCTCTCGGCACTTACTAGCTTTCATCGATCACATGTAAATAAAAATTCAAGCCCGAAGCCCCTTCGAGACCGACAGATGCAAACCAGCAACCGAAAAGATCACCGCCATCTGCGTTCTCGAGGACTAGCCAGATCTCCTCGCTAACTTGAAATGCGGACAGCATCTCCAGCAAGTACCTGGGCCCCATGGGAGAAGTCTCTCAAGCATGAAAGTTGCCCATTTCCATCCGCTGCCGATCTCCATGCTTTTGCCGGCAGGTTGCTGGGGTGTATTTTCGCTCTGGCGCCTTTGTGCATTGTGTATTTGTACTGACAGATGCTGTTCAATACACACCTGTTCATCATGTGAGCATGTCTGGAGTCTGAAGCTCATCTCTGAGTCAAGCACAGGAGGCTGAACACACCGATCTCGGCCAAGGGATCCTGTGTTTCACGCATGTCCCGCGGCACCGCATGGTTTATCCTGGCTGCTAAGAAGACCGGAGAGACGGTCCTCTGAGTCACGCGCAATAGACCGCTGATGCATTGCGAGCTCACTTCCGGGCTTCCCTGCCAAGCAAGGACTCTGAAGGAGACGTGTCGTCAGCAGCCGCTATCGGTTCAACACTTAGCGACTTAGCTCAGGTCGCAAGTTTTCGCAAGTCATGCTTGCTCGATGCTAAAACCCCCGGCCTCTATTTATGTTGACGCGCTCTGCGGGCAGCTTCTTGACCTCAGAACAGCTCACACGGTTCGCATTTATCGAAAGACTCTGCATTCTGATACTGTGCCGACCCTACGCCCTGTGGTTGGCCTTGGCTACCATCGAACTTGCAGGCTGAGTGGGGTGCCACGACAAGCTCGTCATGGTCTTCGGAGGACCTTCGCTTGCTGGCCACTGCTTCGACGGGTGCTTCCTGTCTAGATATGTTGCGGTTGCACACACATGTTCGGCGACCAATTTACCTCTGTTAAGGCCAACTCAATGGAAGAAATTTTAGATTCTGGCTGAAGGCTTCAGGACACGAGCACCTCCAACTACGACCCAGGTGAAATCAGGTCCGAGCGTCATCGAATGTAACTCGACTTTTCCCTGTCCTCTGCAGCAATCACTCAGATCTTTTCCTTAAGTGAGCAACTGCAAGCGGCAATCTCTGACATCCAAGATGATTCACATCGGGACATTCGGATTTTGACGATCCCTCATTTTTCATGTAGGGTATCGGTATCGGTGTTGCTTGCACCCATCTTATACGAATCCTGCCGAGACTCTTTTTGTAAAGCGGCCGGTCGAAATTAGGCTGTCAATGCTAGCAAAATCCTCAGATCCAGGTCAGACCACAGTAGTGGCAAGCTTGCACCAAGCGGAAGCAGCTGGCTGCGTCACGCCCGAGGAGCAAGTGCAACCCTCTAGATGACCATTGAGCGGTTTTTCGGTGCTTTGACCACGAAGCTACTAGCACCTGCGGCCAGGCAGCATGAAAGTAGTTCAAGTTCGTACATCGAGGATCTAAACCTGCATCTGGTCGGCCATCAACCTTCGGCGAGGCATCTCAAAATCCAGCACCCGCAGTGCCGATGATCTGACGTGGTTGGCACAACTACAGTACAGGGCGCGTTGGGACATGGTGAAGCCTTGCCTTGTCGTACGGCCGGGTAGACCTGCGGCATCAACATTTCCAAAGAGGGAACTTGACATCAGGCCCTGACTCGAAAAGACCTTGTCCAAGGCACCTTGGCTCGGCAGCTCCTACGGAGGCGCCGGCGGAGGTGGCCGAAGAGCAGCCTCGGCAATCGCTTAAAAGCTGATGTCTCCTGAAGTTGAAGTTGATATTCTACTATGTATGAAATGTGGGTGGGCTTCCGCATGGCAGATCAAATGACTCACTCGGCAGGTACGGATGGTAGGAAACTGTTTTGTATCGTACTGTACTGTATCATCTTAGGATGGGTTTAGGCTTTTGTTTAGCAGTCAGGGGATGTTTTGGTGCACTTCTCGATCTGTCCGTGTCATCCATCCGCATGGCCATGCTCATTTCTCCATGTCGTTCCAATTTTACCGGATGATCCCCGAAGGAGTCAGCTAGATGTTCAGGTTTCCAGGTCTAGGTTCTACATCTTTTTCTGATACAGCACGGTTGCTTTTGCAGGCTGGCTGTGCTGCAAGCGACAGAGTCCAAGGAGCTAGTCCCGCTGTCAGTGCTGCACAAGTCATGCTCGGTCACAACATCCTTGCCTCAGATTGAACAGACAAGGAGTGAAGTGGTCATAAGTGGTCAATGCAAGACATCAGCACACGTCTCGAATGTCCACTATGTTCGGCTTGTAAGTCACGGCTGGCGACTTCGCTTCTTCCAGTTAGGCCAAGGTTCCGGTGACTCGTCCTGCAGCACTGGCCATGGCCTGGCAATTGCTGTCGGTCCGTTTTGGGCTGTCCTTGCTGGAAAGGACATTAAAGAAGAGGCAAGCGGATGGGGGTGCGTTCACGCTTTCATTGTCTCGTCTGCAAGAATCGAAGCCACGCACAGTATGGTTACAGAACTGTGCGCACAGGCTTCAACATCCTTCTGCCTCCAATCCACCAAGGGAGGCGATGCTGTGCTGCGAGCCCAAACGAAATCGAACGAACAAGCCGGCAGGAACGGTAGCCGCTGGCAGAAGTCGTTGTGAAAAACTGCGACCGGCTGCGCCGCGAAGCCGAACTACACCATTCCAGTTGGCAGATTCTTCGGTTCAGCACCATGCGTAGAATCAAGCTGAATGCTGTGTAGAGATCTCCCACAGAAATGACTGGCGACGGTCTTTTCGCGGTGCAGCGCGAAGCTATGCTAGGTGCAAGTCCGATTGCACTAACATCAGGTCAGCAGGCCAGAACCCTCGCGTCGCTGTTGAGCCCGGTCCCCTCCCGAAAGCTGTCTGCAGCGCCGTATTGCCTGGCACGTACACAGCATGTGCACAAGCTTGGTATGGGAGAAATGAATACATGCAACAAGCGTCAGGCTGACATCAACTTATAGTTTTGACGAGCTGAGGCAGGGGCATGACAGACTCTTTGCTGTCAGCTGCAGCCCCCTCTTCGGCATCCTGGCAAGACTAAGACTATGACCTCCAGGTCCTCCAAAATCAAACAGAAAGTCAGATCCCAAAACGAGCCTCTTCTGTAATGCGCCCGGGAAGCACGTCCACAGGCTCCGGTGTCGACTCAGGGGGCGACTCCGGCGCCGAGGGCGGCTCCTGGGGTTCCTTGCAGGCTGCATGCAAGTAAACACCAGTTAAGCCGTCACGACTATGGGATGTTATGGCTGAATTGCCTTGAACAGCTCATCCAGCCGTAGCTGGCTGTCCAGTTGCAGATTCCTGTCAGGCCACGCATCGCATGCTTGCTGGCGGTGCAGTCACAAGCAACACAAAGTTGTCACGCGCCCGACGCCTTAGAATTTGGCTGGCGCGGGAAATCTCCTTCGCCATGTGCTGCCACTCTTGGGCTTTGCTCCTGCAGCAAGTCGGTTCACAATGATGATTTGAAGCCAAACGTACCCAGCCACAGATCACGGCGAGCCAGCTTGATTGAGCGGTGGCCACACACAATGTCAATGTGACGAGAGCGCATGCTGTATGCTAGCAGAATTCCGCAGTGCCTCTGCACGTCGAGTTGGGTCAGCGGGCAAACCACCTCAAGTTCAGCATGAACACCAAGCTGAGGTCGCAGAAAAGGCGGCGACTCGCCTAGTCCTTATCCGAGGCACTCGGAGGACCTCCAGCGGCGGAGGAGGGGGTGCCTGCGGGCTGCAGTCCGATTCCTCCTTTCCGAAGCAAAGTGCTTTAATCTGAGCTGGGAAGCTTCAGCGGCGAGTGCTCGGATAGAGTGGTGACCAACAAGGCGTTTCCCTAAACTCATGTAGGCTACTCGAACGTCGCGTGTGCCTAACGGGGAGCACTCCCGAGCTATCACTGGAATGCTGGGCCACTGGGCAGTGCAGGCCCTTGTGTCCTGTTCGGAGGCAGCTGCCGGAGCCACCCGAACGATTCCGCCGGAGCTCCAGGTTGGCTGCGCGAAGTAATCCTTGCAGTCGGAGATCTGGAGAATGCGCTCGCTCGCTCTCGCTCTCGCTCTCGCTCTCGCTCTCTCTCTCTCTCTCTCTCTCTGAACACTGTGCACTTCGATGTGGATTACATCGGTGCGATCAGCGTCGCGTCTCTAGGAACCACCGTTGTCCGTGCTGGCATTGGGCTTTTGTTCGCGCCACGCTACTGACTGTTTCTTTCTTCCAAGTCTTCGCTCTTCTCCTTCCCCGGATGATGATTATTACCTTTTACTACCTCTTCGCTTTGCTTTGCTTTGCTAAGGGTAAGTGGTAAGAGGCGCCAGCAGGCCTGACGCCCCGCGCTCCAGGCGCATCCCCATCCATCATGTTGACAGAGGGCTCTGCTGTACGAGGGTGTGCAGGGCTGTCCAACACGGAAGGTTTGGTGTGCCCGCGGGAGCAGGTGCAGGTTTCAGAAAACATGGCATCAGGAGGGAAACACATGCCTTAGTTATACTTACCGGCCCTGCAGTCCTTATGTCTGCTACAGGCACACCACTTTGAAGGTACGAGGAAAAGAACGAGTGGCTTTCTGAAGGTACAAATTAAATTACTACCTCTTCCTCTCCCCCTCTTTCTCTGTGTCCTGCGCTGCGGATGGAAATTTGAATTGACAACCACAGGTAGTTACGTGACCCACTTGGATGAGTGTGTGTGTGTGTGTGTGTGCGCGCCAATTTTGCAGGCGAGAATCAAAGAATGCCACGAACGTCTTTTCCAGCATTTTGGGAGTGCAGAGCTTGTCTTTCTTGGCCTCGCAGCTGCTTCAAGACATCGACGGAGCCCGCTCCGGCTGCAAGACTAGACGTAGTGTCGCGAGCTGCAATGCATTCACTGCTGCACGGGACGAACGTCTTGGGAATTGAGCTATCCGAGGAAAGAGACGGAGCAGTGGAAGCAGGAGAAGAAATTCTTCGCAGTTCAAGGGTCGCCGCGGCCTGCATCCAAATCTGCAGTGGCTCTGGTGAAGAGTCCTCCTGCACTTTCAGTACAAGCCTGGGCAACCAAAAGAGATGCAGCTGATGGCTGCTTGTAGTGGCCATGTGGCAAAGCTAGTTCCAGCTGGCAGTGCAGCGACCAAAACAGTTGATCCAAGCAACTCTTGAACTGAATGCGGAGGCAGCTTGCAAGCTTTGCTTTCCTGTAGCACCTTTACGGCCATCAGGACCAGAGTGTAGGTGCTGAATCCGCCTTGCGGGTGCTCTTCCGGGAGGCTTCAAGACATGGCTTGGCCTTGGGGCCGATTTCTGATTCTCAGGCATTGCCCCGACAAGTTCTCCCGATGCCTTTGGCTCGGTCGCCCAGCTGCCGCCGGCGGGCCCAGTGCTTCAGGAGCCGCACCACCTGGGCAAGCAGACCTTTCACTGTTTCTCTATGCTGATGCTGCCGAAGTGATTCGTGACGGCGGTCTGGATTTGGGGTTCTGAACCGATGGGGCGACCCATGGCGAAGCTCTACGCCGTTATGAAGCACAAACGAAGAGCATCGAACAGCACAACTTTATAAGCAAAGGGGCGGATATTGACTTCAGCAGTTCCAAGATATCTGCAATACTGTGGGCCGGGTTGCAGGACCCAGCAATGGCTCCATCTTGCACAAGCCTTGCACTAGGCGACTGTTCTGCAGGCCTCCAACCAGGGATCAGGGAAGCAGTGATAGCAAGTGAGACAACTAAGCAGGCAGTAATGGCAGTGGCACCGGCAGTGGCAGTCGTCGTCGTCGTCGTCATCGTCGCAGTGGAGCAGCAGCAGTAGCCAGCGGCAGCTGCAGCAGCAAGAGCAGGTGAGGGATCAGTAGCAGTCGGAGCAGAAGTACGACGAGGAGGTAGAGGAGGAGAGACAAAGCCAGCATCTGGTGACAGGTTGATGGCGTCCAGTTCAACCAATGTCAGTACCCATACCGAAGTGCGAAGGGGAAACACGCTCGAGTCGTCTTGTCATATGTGCAGAAGCCTGAATCGCCAGTACCAGCGAGTGCATGTGATTCCAACAGAACTGGAGGATTCTGAGCGAAAGCCCTGATTCTTCATTTGCTTCTCCCAAATATCTGGAAGCCGGCAGGAGACGGTGGTGCAAGATCGTAACACCAAACACAAGCAGTGCGTTTGCAGGCCTTCGTGGTTGTTGACGGAGACGTCGCAAAGGACCTCTTCGTCGCTGCCGAAGAACTTCAGCACCGGAACCCGGGCACGGATAACATACAGTTTCCTTGCAAGCAGCAGGCAGCGCATTCAATCACGATCACAAAACAAAGGGCAAATCCGACCTGGACACTAATGCATACTATCGGAAGTGCCATTGACTCTGCGACAGGATGTGACGGTACAGATTCCATCTCTGTCAACACCACTACCATTACCCCCAGCCTGCACCCCTCCACTCGCAATTACACTGTTTACTCAGGCCAGCGGCCATCGCGGCGGTAAAATTAGTCATCATTCTCACTGCAACGGTTGACTGCTGCTTTTCTGCCTCTAGCATAAGCCCTCCTCACTGCTTGTGTCAAGCTGATTCTGACGAGGGAGCATGTCCAAGGACTGGCTGGATGCAGACGAAAGGCTCCACACCCTCGAAAGTGAATCGCTCAGCCTGCAGTTGCGACTTCACGAGAATGAATACCGATAGCAGGGCAGTGCTAGGTTCACGACGAACGTTGCTCCCTGAGCTGGGCGCTGCGATGTGACCCACCGATCGAGTTCCCTTCAGAAGGGTGGTGTCAGTGCCGTTATGACGGGGACGAAGGCGACGGGTCCCGTGCACCCCTGGCCTTCCGCCAGGCTTGGGGTTGACTATGGTTGAATGCAGGAACGGGTCTGCACTCTGCATCTCAAGTGCCCTCCAACCCCTGGTCAGGTGTGCAATGGCTGTCTGCCAATCGCTCATCCAGTTCAACCGAGACTTCGAGATACTTGGAGTAAGAGCAAGAAATACAAACATGGGCAAAGTAAATGACTGCTAGTCACTGCTAGTCGAGTGAAGAGGCAGAGCCTTTACAAAGAACCTTTCCAGTTCACTCACGGAGCCCGCATGACGGTCACCTTCACTTCCCCAAGCTTCTTTGAGGATTCAAGCTCCTAAGATGGCCGACTTCTAGAATAAAAGGTTTGCAGCCTAGCCATGTCTCTCACTTGACCCGAGCGCACCTTCGCCCTCAACAGGCGCAGCGCCCGAAATTGGACAAGGCGCGCAGAGATGCCTCAGCTTAGAGTTCTCGCAGGCCGCAGGCCTGCGTTTGCGAAAGACAGCGCTGTTTTTTGCAATCCAAACGGCTGTCCCTCGGCTCTTCTGGCGGAGAGACGGAGACGACGGGAGGCGGCGGAGGCATTGGCAGGCTGCTGAGGCCCTGGGCCTGGGTGGCCCGGGACTCAGAGACCTCAGCTTAGCGCCACAGCGGTTACAGCGGTATCACGGTCGTATCCCACACAGCGTAAAGTGGCGGCTCCCGGCCTCCGGCGAAGCATCTGGATCCGATGTTTCTTCCGGTCGAGCTGGAAAGGGCTCTGACTCTGGCTGGGCCACAACTGTCGTTGTCTCTGGTGTGGAAGGTGGCGGTTGGAGTTGCTGCGGAGCTGACGCGGGGCGAGGTTTGGGAGGACTAGGTCTCCTCCGCGCTCGGGTTGGCGGAATCAGAGCTTGATGCTCCAAGGCCGTTGGTGTCGGGGGCAGTTGGACTGCATTTGGGGGCGGTGGTGGCACGAGAGCTTCCAGCTGCAGAAGCATTTGCTCAGCAGGGGCTGCCTTGCGCAGTCCAGAACCTCGCGAGCCGCAGAATCACGAGTTGCTGACTCTGTCACGGCGGGTTGGCGCAGGCAAGGAGCTTGCGGTGTTCCCCGGAACCTTTGCATCGGTCGGCGCCCGAAGCTCCTCACAAGCGTTTGCCATTTCCCTCGACCGATGTTCCCGACCGTGACCACTTATTTGGCAAAGCGTCCTGTTGTAAGGATAGCAGGTACACTGAAAACTGATCAATTGAGAAACAACGTGCAATTCAAGTTCTGTCGCTCCTGTGAGACAAGGCCCCTTTTGGCCACTTTGTTTTGGTCACACAGCCACGTGAGGTCAACATCCTCGGAGCTGACGGAGAGTGGCTGTCAGAAAGCATCCCAAGTGTTTCACATAGCCAGCTATAATGCTTCCACGATGCACACCTCTTGATGTCATGAGCTGCTAAGAGGGGTAAGGCAAACACTCTTGACTGAGTAGAAGAAAGAGCCACACCGTTGAGCAAAGATTGCCAGCAAGTGGCAGATCCTTGCATGAAGGTCCCGTTGCTACACGATCCATAGCAGTGGGTCTCGCCATCAAGCTGCTCACCTTGGATGCACGAACACTGACTTCTCTTCAATGTCGAGATTCTGCTGGCAAGGGATGTTCATAACACGATGGAAAGGTCCGGTCATGTTGTGTGTCAAAGGATCATGAGGCTAATCAGGCCTCCAAGGCCTTCAACAAGCTGAATAAGGAAGTTCAGGCGCGTGGTCCATATTCGCCTAGAGGGTGGGGTTGGTGTTGGCTGATATTCTGTAAGGGCCGGGCAGACGGATCGGACCATACTCGCCAGCTTCTGTGCTTTCTCATGCTGGTCTGCTGAGGGTCGCAGATCCTGACAGCACTAGGCCATGAGATCGCATACGGCAGCCAGAATTTAAGCATGCATTGAAACCACATGGAGCCCTCATCGCTGCAGCTCCGTGTCCCGTTCCAGATGGAAGAGGAGAGCCGGAAAGGGCTTCACAGCAGTTCCCAAAGCAACGCTTTGGCCCTGGGACTGCTGGATACATAGCCGTGGACCTGCTCGCAAACGCAAGCTCAATGGCCTGACAGCTTAGGACTTGCAGCAGTTGAAGTATTTTGTTTTAAGTGTGGCCCTTTGATACACTCGGCGAGGCCTACAAGCTTTACCCAAAATCAGCTTGACGGGCATGTACTTGTGACAGGTAACCAGCACGCATGAGGAATGTCGCCGGAAGCCTCCCCTCCCAGGAGCATAAAACCTTCAGGCCCTCGGTGACGGCGACGTCTCGACGAAGCCAAACCCAAGCCTTCCTCGAGCCTTAAAGCTCCCCCAGAACCAATGAAGCAATCTGCCGGCGAGACCCCTGGATGGTAGGAATCCGCCGAAGGCCGCGCGCCGCGAGCGGTTCCATCGCGAAGGGCGCATGGAGTCCGTGGACTAGCCGGCTAGGTTCGAGTTGGTTTTGGCTTGCTGCAGTCGGACTTGCCAAAGGGCGTTTTTTGCTTTTAGCGCGTTTGAATACGAGAGGCCAACCAAGTCATCTCCAACCAAATTCCAATGACATCAGGTCATTGCACAAACAAAGCTCTGTGCCAAAATGAATCAGGGTAGGGCTGTTCCGGGACTGGGTCGGACGGCCCGGGGGGCCAAGAGCAATTGCATTTACAGGCCAAGAAGGCCTGCCATCTTCTTCAGTCTTAAGAGCCGATGCAATGTCAGCCCTTGCTTTGGTGATACAGTGCAGTTGCAAGTCAAGTGTACAGGCAAGGGTTTGTACTGTCTGGAAAGTACTATCTGGGAAGTTAAGGTATTGAAACTGCATCTGAGCCTGCGTGTGACATGTCAATGCTTTTGTCATCCCAGTCTTGAGAGAAACCGAGTGTTGGGCACAACTCCAAGCTTGCAGCGTCTAGGGAGAAAGAAGCGGTGCGGCGCCACTTCTCCAACGCCAACGATTCGGTAGGCGCTGCTCACTCAGGGCGGCCTCGGTTGAAGGAACGTCATCTCCCACCCTCTCAAACAGCTGCGTAGGCTTTGTGGCGACACGTGTTTTTGTCAGCCGCGCGTTTCTGTGCATTGGCCACAAGGTCTGTGTTGGCTGTACCAGTGCTCGAGGGTGGCAGCTGCCTGTACACTCAGCCACCAAAATTCAAGATGCGCAGGAGGAGAGATCTCTGTCACATCCATCGCGCAACTAGGCTTCCTAGAAAATTGAATCAATACTTACAGCATGGCAGGGGGGCGCAGCTCTCCAAGCTCAAGCTGCTCAGCTCACTTTCACAAGCTGTGCGAACTGCCGCAGCAAGTCGTTGCCGTTCCGCTTCAGGCTTGGGCGAGGGCGGCAGTCATGCTGATCTTCGAAACGATGCTTCAAGCATACCTTCATGCCGCAGGTGCCGCAGTTACACGAGTTCGAGAAGGTTAGCTTCTCTTTGCAGCCCTTGACAGGGCACCGATTCGGCTTGGCTGCCTCTTTGGGAATGCATTTTCCACTGGTGGCATGCCTTTCCCAAACTTCGTTCTCGTCCTCGCCATGTGCCAAAGGAACTGACGCAGCGCAGAGTGGGCACACGATCACGCGACGGTCTGTGGCCGCTCGCCCCTTGGGGCAATCATGCGCTGCATAGCTGAAATGCTGTGAGCAGTAGGCTTTGCCACAGGCGTCGCACTCGAAAGGGAGCAAGTCCTGCTGGTTGCAGTATGCATGGGAGCAATGCTTGCCGCAGTCACTGAAGTTCGCCATCGCAAGAAGGCGACAGGCAGAAAGCCCACACACAAAATTGAGTTCGGTTGCTCATTGAACCGCCAAGCCGCAAATGCATCAATTGTAGGGTTAGCCATCTCTGAACAAGTACACTGTGAGACCGAAGTCTTGCCAAAGGGCGGCAGCTTCAACTTCAAAGGCATGCAGCTTGTGGGATACTCTGCTACAGACCCCTGTGCTGACAGGGCACATCGTCAAAAGTCCCAACACGTGCCCAGCACGCAGAGGGTCCAGGACTCAGTTCCACCGAGCAGATAAAGCTTTGGCTCAATCTGAACTGAACGGCGAGCAAAGCAAGGTGCCACATGATGAAGCGCCGAAAACAGGGCTTCTGTTCATGGACTTGCTACATACTGGAACACGACATGATACTTGCAACAGTGCATGGGATTCTGGGCAAGGAGCCTTCGGTCGCCGTGGGTGCAAGTAGAAATCGTCGACCTCCCGCATGCCCCTCAAACCCAGCGCTGACAGAAGCAATCCTAGAATCCTAGCTTATGGAAATCCTGCAGCAGCAAGCATGTCTGAGAGTGCTTTGCCTTCAGCGTCGTTGGAAGCATGGGTGAAAGAAGGCATGGTAATGAACGCGAATTGCACAGCACGTGCCCTTTCAGAAATGATCTGCAGGAAAGGCAATCAATCACCTTACGAGAAAATGCCTGGCAAAGGAGCTGCTCCAAGCAGCCCTGGAGGCCGTGAGCGCAGACCTCGGAGTACTTGGAGCTTTGTAGACTGCTCGGGGATGCCCAAAGCGAGCTAGAGCAGCTAGAACCTGTGTTACGCATGCCAAGATGTGCAGCAGAAAAGCCTGCCAGTCAGACGGAAGGTTCCGCCCCCTTGTGCAATTGCTTGATAGGCACACAGAACCTGCCTCGTTGGGCCTAGTGCGAGATTGAGGAACGTACTCCCGATTTAACCCACCTATTTAATCTGCTGGGTTTCTGGGGTCTGCACGGCGACTGCAAGAACGATCAAGGCAGAGTGGAGCCTGAAGCTTCATAGCGTCAGTTTGGGCTGACAAGCGGGAACGGGACGCACGAATGTGCCAGCTTCAAGAAAAGTGCATGCGTCTCAATCCCCGAGTTTGGCTGAGGCCCTCTCTTGCGAAAGCTGCAGAGCGCAGGCCTGTCGGAGAAAGCACGCCCCGGAGAACATCAAGGAAGCTGGCGAGTCGTGACTTCGAATGCTCCGGTCACTGCAGATATAGACTGTTGAGTCTGTGCAATGCACAGGAGCCCGCCTGGCCTTATGCTCACCACAAGAAACTCGCAAGCGCAGATCCCAAGCACTGCCAGCAACGTGAGGCCGCCCCTGCCGACACTTACAGGGTGCACATGCAGGATCATGCAGGGATTTTGCCGCAAGAGCCAAGTTAAATCCTCGGTCCAACAGTCACAAACACTGCTCCAACTGCCGGTCGTTGTGCCCTGCACGGCAGGATTGCTCTTGCAGCAGTCGCAACTTCACCGCTCGAGCTCGAGATTGGCATTGGAGGTCGGTGTCTGCTGGGTTCTCGTTCGTGTGCACCTCTGTGTGGTTCTGAATGTGAGCCCGGGGTGAAGCGACTGAGCCTGCAAGGACTGCCTAAGAACTTGCATTTCTTCTCGGCAGTCATGCGAGTGTGACGCGTGCGAGCGACCTGATGCCAAGCAACAACAACTGGTTCCTTCTGCTCCGGCCTTTGCTCCCAATTCAGTCTTCGGTCCGCCGATCTTCTTGAATTTGCCTTACACAGCCTTTTCCATCAAGACCCTGTGGGGAGCCCTGATGTCCTGCTTCGATACCTTCTTCGCCCCACTGCTATCCAAGTATTCCAAGTCCTGGAGTTACCGGTATCATGCGGCCAAACCCCGCTGCCTCAGGAAAGTCACCGCTGCAGCAGAGCAAAAGATCACCATCGTTGCCGGCAAAGCATCCATTCCTGGCAAACAGCGCGCATCTTTCTTGCCGTCACTTCGGTGTTGGTGTTGTTGATTTCTCTCTCCCGAGACCTGCTTCGTTACCGACTCTAAACTTAAACATGCACGACCGCATCGGTGCCTTTTCAGTCTTTGTTGCTGTGCCCCCCGAGCTTCGTGACCGACGCCGTCCAACATCCACGAAACCGCAAGGATTCGGCAAAGATACTCAGTAGCAAGCCGTTGCTCCTGCACCTCCGAGCATGAAGACTGCCCCCTTCGCGGCTAGGATGAATGCCAGCGTGTCGCTGGAAGGCGAGTACAGAAGAATCCTGCACAGACTCTCCGTTTCTGTAGCAGATTAGCAAATCCCACTTCAGTTCCACTGTACTGTTCGTCGATAGCGTGACCTCCAGGGCCACACGTGCGCGCCCAGGCATTGTCCGTACTCCCAGCTGAGAAACTCCTGAGTCGCGTTGTGGAGACTCTCTCTGCGTAAATAGTTTTCCGGGTCTGCACCAGGCTCATGGGTCATGAGCCTGGGCATCAATTGGAAGGCTCGCAGATCACATGCCCCTTTGGCGGCAAAAAAGCAAGATCGTCACGAAAACTTAGCCTAGCTGCCTAGCTCTTCTAGTTCAAGCCGAAGAGTCCCGTGGCTTTGCAGGGATCGTCATCCTAAGAAAGAATCACTTCAAGACTCGTGACAGGATCACTTGCCAAAATCTCGACGCTCCCCAAACCCCAGACCGATTCAAGATTCTTTGCCGTGCCTCTGTCCTCCCGGGTTTAGTCAAGCCCTCACTTGTCCCATCGTTTACTTCCAGCCGAAAGCCTTGCTTCTCGCTTCTCCTCTGAGTCTCCCTTTTTTTTGAACCTTGCGAAATATTGCATGCTTTGTCGCCAATATCACCGCGGGTCCGTCCAATAGAAGCGAGTGATCTGATCGTTGGCTGGCCCTCCTTGCTGTTCGCCCCTCTGCGCATGCATTGCTGCATGGGGCTGCATCCTTTTACTGGAAGTGCAAAGGAGCACTGCGACGCTCAACCGCGAAAGTGAAACACTGCTATAACTCAAACAACAAGCGAGGATGTGCACAACCTCAAAGTTCAGCCTAGATACGGTGCGCCCGCGAAGGTGTCTTGCTGCAGGGGGAGCAAGGAGTCTTTGGGAAACCTGATGTGCAGGAGAAGAAGGAATCACCTATTCACCTATTCTCATGTGCCAAGCTGAAGATGTGAGAAACATAAGCCTTACTTCAAAGAAACGTGAAGTCAGCATGGTCGTTGACCCGCTCCCACCACTCAATGTCTGAGTACCTTTGCTCCTGTTCGAGATTCTCGCCGTTTGCTTGGGGATCTGGGTCTAGCAGCCGAAGTTTGCAGGAAACTGCAGGAAGAGATCAGTTGAGCGTGACTTGACATCTTGGTAACTGGTAGCTTTATGTCGGCGAGACAAGCTAGTAC